AGAGAGAGAGACCCAAAAAAAATTAAATTGATCAGATTTTTTCAACTTCACAAACTCACTGTTGTCCAGCTAAAATCAGCTAATGACTTCAGCTGAAGTGAAAACAAACTCTTAACATGTGTCTGTTTATCTTAAAGACTTTAGGTTAGTGGTCACTGATTTTTTCCCAGAGATCTGCCTTTCTTGGAGACCTGGGGTGCCCAATCTTATATGCAAAGGGCCGGTGTGGTTGCAAGCTTTTGTTCCAAGCAGGTGTAAGTACATCTGAATCTACTTGCTAAACCAATTGGTCTCAGTCAAACAATTGACCTGGGTGCTCCTGCTTTGTTGGATTGAAAACCTGCTGCCACACTGGCCCTTTGTGAATAAGATTGGACACCCCTGGTCTAGGATCTAATTCCCACCACAATGTGCTGCACCTGCTCCAGCTAATTAACCTCCTCCCAGGTCCCTGATTGGCTGAATCATCATGTGTTAAATAAAGGGCGGGGCAGCTTATTAGATATGGGTTGGAACTAAACTGACTGCTTTAGACTGACACCTTTTTTCAGTGTTAATTGCAAGCCAGATGTCACTTACTATAGATTTGGGTTTAATGTGGTACATTAATAGAAAAATGCAGAGTGGCAGTGCGGCATGATGTATTTTGACCACCTGATGTGTCCAGCATGCAATAACCTGTAGCTTTAAAGTGAAAAGACTGAAATGGCCATCTCTAAAATGGAGCAAAGACCACAATTCACAAAAATGTACATTTGCAAAACCCCTGAGGCTGCACCCCATTATACATACTCTTAGTGACTTTTAAGAGCCAAATGAACGACAGCAGGCTGTAAAAGCGGGACGTAAGTAGCTAGAACGTTAAGAGACTCTGAAATAAAGTGTTGCAGACAAAAAAGACTAAGATTAACCTCAACCACGGTAATGGAAAGCAGAGCTGAAGACAGAGGACTAAATTAATATTCAAGTCAAAGTGCTATTACTTAAGGAATCTATGTGTGGGCAGTTGAGAAGCTACTTGAGTAATGTGTGAAAAGTCCTGCTCAGCTTAAAGTACATTCGTGTTGCTACCTAAGTGCACTCTTTTTTGCGGTGCTGATTATTTTCTTCAATTGCTAATAGATCTGGAATCCATGTACAACCCTTAAACGGTAACTAACTGTTGGAATACAGTAAATGTCAAAAAGAATTTTTGCTTCTGAAATCATGTGTGAAACAGTCCGTATTTACAGGGCTCCTTTCCACACAGTAGACACTAATGAAATGTCAGCAAAGCTGGAGAGTTTGAGGAAAAGGAGGAAAGTAAGAAAGAAAAAAAAAAGAAATAATTCAAAGTGCACTCAAGGAGAAGCAAAAGTGCTGACATTTAAAATATTTATAAAAAAAAGTACAAATCATGAAAAAAAGACCCTTTCAAAGTACTGTAACTATTACCTTCCAACAACGAGCCAGACAATAACGCCGAACACATTGCTAACTGGCAAAGAAGAACTTTTTGAAGGCCAAAAACGTGCAAAATACATGACTGGCCAGTCAGTCATCCCATAAAAACCCAGCAGAGCATGCATTTTACATGCTGTAGACCTGGCAGAGCATCAGTGGGGATGACAGCCAAAGTCTGCTGTAAATGTCTGGATGTCATTGCAGGCAACGTCAAAAAAAATACACCTAATTAAACATCATCTTTGATTTCCAAATACTTTTGGCACCTCCAAACAGGTATCATATCTGCAAAATGCTCCATAATTCCCAAAACAGTTCATCCCAGATGGCTGAAAGCACTTTAAATTTGCTGTTAACAGTCTGCACTTTAAACCCTTTAATGCCTGTGCCAAATCCACAGTGCTGGTGTTCAGAGCCAAAATAACAAATAAAAGTTTTACCACTCAAATATTTTGGAGCTCACCTTCAAACTCTGTGCTATTTGGATAATGAGTAAAGTGTTCAGTTCAGCAAGTTTTCTGCTTCTCCTGACTGAGATGGAGTGACATCATCGCCTACAGACAAAGCAGCTCTCTCTAAATTCAGTCTGGATCGGACTGAAACAAATACGTCTGACCTCCTCGGCCGATAGGCTGATCACTCTCTATTGTCTAAAACTTTCAGAACCATTTCACATCTGAATAAATCCACGAAGCATAAAGGCCTGATGATCGAACACAGACGATAGGATGACTGTGAGATTTGGGGTTTTGTGTCAGAAAGATTTTTTAGGAAATAAAAGAGACAATTTTGAATTTAATTAACCAATTTTTCAAACCTGCTGCATAAGTCAGTCGATAAGAGTTAAACAAAGTCATTCAGAGTGGTTTGTGTGAAACAGTGCACTGAATCTCAGATTTCTTTACCTTGGTGGAGACCATAATGTCCACAATGCGACCATAGGCATTTTATTTACTATCCAAAACAACAACTGAGCCTGCATGTGTCTTTGTTAGTTCTTATTTGTAAAGTTTATCATTTTAAAATACGGGCAAATCTGAAAGAGTAAGTTTTCTTTGGCTACTACTTTGCCTTACAACATCCTGCTTGTGCCACTCTGACATGAATAGATTTAAAAATACATTTTGGGCCAAAATCTCATCTTAAAACTGTCATAAAGAAACATCAGGCAGTGTATTTGTAACCATTTAATCTCATAACTTTCTGTAAGCTTTAGAGGCATAAGACTCTTTGGACATTTGGTTCTTATTACCACCACTGTGAAAAGTACTGACTTGATAAGTTTCTCTAGAACAGGGCATCTCAAACCACGTTGAATGACTTTTCTTACATCTTAAATATTTACAAAGTAGAAAATTTGAAACATCAGTGTAATTCCCCTTTAAAGGGTCTGTTATCATGGAAAATCAACAATCTGCTTTTTTTTAAATATAGTAGTTTGATGTACTGTGTCAACATAGTTAACGTTTCAAAACATACTGTTTACTTCCCAGTCAGTACAGTTCATGTATGGAAAATATGCTGCAAAAGCAGCTTTTTTGAAAACACACATTTACATATATCCACCTATTTAGCCTACAGGAGCTCAGCTCCACCCATTCACACTGAAGTTATAAGGAGTGTTTCACTCCAGATTGATTTTTAAATGAATGCACAATACAGGACATCCAGTCAGAACCAAGCTCATTTACATATGTCCATCCTAAAGATACAGTAACAAAACAGTCCTTTTAAAGCTGCACTCTGTGAGATTTTTTTGTTAAAATTGAAAGAAGTAGTCTTACTGAATCAGGAGAGACAAAACATGCTAAAATATTTTGTGGGTGTGCTGCTGTGAATTGTCCTGTAATTCCCCTGGTGTCAGGTTGGATTTTGTGTCTTTACGTTTCGGCCTGAAATGCATAATCAACATTATTCTGATAAAGATATGATGTTAATAGAAGATAATTCACTCACAAGGCATGTCTTTTACCAAGTTTTGGCTGGGCTCTCTTTGAATACTGTTTCAACATAGGCATAATTATCAGATTCATTCACTTGGGGAAGGGATCTCAAGCACAACTGACAAAATGTTGCTTGTAATTACTCATTTCCACCAGAGAGGTCTCCAAATCCCCAAATCTTGCATAGTATAGCTTTAATTCCAAAAGATGACATGACCATTTTCCAAATAAGTTGGAAAATGGTTATGTAAAAATGACTTACAAGTGGTTTTGATAAATGAAATAGCTAATCATCTAAAATGGACCTCAAGGGAAGAAAACTGCAAGCTATGGGCCCTTTAAAATAATCCAAGCAAAGAGTCATATTCAGAAAGTGACACAATACTAGTTGTGAGTTGAGGTTTCTACTAGTATTGGTAATAAATACTATTTATATCTAATTGATATCACATATAAAATATTATATTTGACTGATATAATGTAATATATATAGAGTTACATATATTTATATATGTATGTGTACATATATATATATATATATATTTATATATGTATGTGTACATATATATATATATATGTAACCCTATGTTCAAAATGAATGAGGGCTGGTTTGACTTTAAGGGCTGGTTTAGTCCAAGTTAAAGCTTAATTCGTGCCCACAAAACCTCCTTTGAGTGTATAATTAGCTCAGCCCTTTAAAGCACTCTGCTCTGCTCTATCCTAGGACAGGCCTGCAGTCTGTAGGAAAGTGTTTTTGTCCTCTCTACATGCTGAGCTCAGCCTCCTCTCTGCTGTTCACTGAGAGCCAAGCTAGACTGCAGTTCCCCAAAGCTCCACTAGGGCGCATTATTAAACACTTGACCACTGGACTGCATACCGGACAAAATGAAACTGTTAAAGAAACTGTTTGTCTGTGTGTTTAGTCTGTATTTTTACGTGTGTGTATATATATATATATATATATATATATATATATATATATATATATATATATATATATTGTCTTGTAGTCATTTTCTTGAATACTGTTTGAAGTAAAAATGGACAGGAAAGATCAATAAATTCAAGAACGCAAGAACATATCGACTGTTCTGGACTTGTTTACCTTATGCATATGCATCAAACTGTAACCTTAAAGGGAAATTCCACCAATAGTTCAAATTTCTGCATAATTAAGTGGGTTAAGCTGTAAAAGGCTACGCCACAGAAGATTATTAGATGAAATGTCACAAGATGGATATGAAAACATTGCTTGAGGTCTGATTTTCAAAAGTTCTGATATGAGATTTTGGTCTAAAACGTATTTTAAAAAGTCCATTCATGGCGGAGAAGTACATGCAGAGCATTGTAAGCAAAATAGTACCAAAGTCCCTAAAACGTCTCTGAAAGTATTTTACCATATTTTACCAGATTTACCATAAAAAACATTATATGTAAAACTCAAAAAATATAAGAGTAGGTTATGCCCTTAAAAACAATTAGATGTCGAATACAAAGCAATAATAGAAAGATATGTCAACTGTTATTTGGTCGTTTCACCTCGTGAATATTCATAAGACACCTAATGTCGGTTCCCTCTACGTCACAGTGGAGACGGTTAGCGCATGCGCCGTTGATGAGCTCTAGGCTACAGCTGGGTCTTTGTTACCACAAACAGAAAAATCTGCTTCAAGTTTTGAGATTTTTTTTTTAAGGAAAATAAATTAAACGAAACGTTTCTGGTGGTTGTTGCTGTTTTCCGTCGCGGATGTAGGTCGCTGTCGCTGTAGATTACCCGAGAAAACGCGCTGACGTAAAGCTGGGCTGACAATATCAGATGTACACAAACAAACCCAGCGCTCTTCTTTTAAGGTGGTACTGAGGGGATGGACTGATAGACCGGAGAACAGAGGACCGTCGTTTTGGACTGAAAGCCGAAGCTGCTCGGGTTGTCATTTGTTTTGTTGGAAGCTGAAAACGTGTGTCAGTGAAACAACACGAAACGAGAAGCATGAGGCTCCTCCAGAGCTGAAAGGAGCTCGGCTCCGTTTCTTTCCCCAGCGACCATGAGAGGCGAGCGGGGGGATTGTTGGAAAAGGCAGCCCATGGCACACGAAGGTGGGCTTCGATTTTCAGGCTGCCTCGTCGAAATAGCGGAGAAGAAGTGGACGGAGGGAGGGATTCCGTGGTCCAAAACCATCCCCAGTTTTCTCATAAACTAATCCGAAGCGTTGACAGACATCGGGGAGATGGAGACGGTCGGAAAGTTCGAGTTCAGCAGGAAGGACCTTATAGGACACGGGGCTTTCGCCGTGGTGTTCAAAGGCAGGCATCGTGAGGTGAGGACACTTCAGGTCAACGCCTCAGTCGTGTTTTAATTCCAGACACTTCAGTTTCTTTCTGCTGTCCTGAAATCGTGACTTAAACTATGCATATACATGGGGCCCTGCAAGAACTGTGCCGGTCCACCTTAAGAACAGGCCTCAGCGACAGCAGATGGAGGCGCAGTGTTTATATCCACAGTGCTGCATTTTGCTCTGTAGTTTATGATGGAGCGTTATTTATTATGCGCCCTTTGGATTTAAACCATTGCTGTATTGTGTTTATTTACATTGCCATGTTACAAAGTACTGAATAGGCTACATGCAGCACATGACCCTGCATACTGTTACTAAAATAGGGTTCTTTAGTAAAACCACTGGTTCTATTTAGAACCACGAGTTCTATGTGTTGTATATGGTTCTATATAGAACCTTTTTTTAAAAAAAAAAAAATGGTTCTGTATAGCACTAGAAGTGGTTCTGCTGTTGTTACAATGGCAAGCTTGTAACAATAGAACAACCCTTTTTAGTGCTATGTAGAACCATTTTCAAAAAGCCTATATATAGAACCATATGCAACACATTCTCTATTAATCTGAAGAACCATTTCACCATCCAAAGAACCATTTAAGCATGCATATGGTTCTGTTCAGAACTCATGGTTCTAAACATAGCTATTCCCTTTAATACAGCCCCATTAAAGAGCCATGTTTTCTATGACTGTATTTTAGCTGTAGAAGATGCTATTATACCAATACATATATAACGCATTATATAATGTATTCACTTTAATCAGCTCACACTGGGAAATGTTGGGATTTTTTTCCTCCTTTTTCCTTGGACATGTCCGGACATGTTCGACCTATAGTAGACTAATAAGTTCATATTCATTTAATGTGAACCCAAATAGCCACAGTTTATATTTGCTACTTGCTTTTGCCAACAGAAGCATGACTGGGAAGTTGCAGTTAAATGCATAAATAAGAAGAACTTGGCAAAGTCTCAGACTCTCTTAGGGAAAGAGATCAAAATATTAAAGGTAAGATATAACACCAGCAGTGTTTTTGTCTGGATAAAAGATAATTGTTAAAATGCATGTTTGCATTAAAAAATTAATGTATGCTTTTTTTTTCTTTTTTTCTTTTTTTTGCAGGAATTGAAGCATGAAAACATCGTCGCATTGCACGACTTCCAGGTAAGCAAAACACACATAATGCCAAGCTGAAGTTTATGAGACTTTCATTGTGGACAGTACTCACTTTGGGCTTGAGTTAAACTTAGAAATCTTTCTTTCTGTAATACAGCTTACATGATATAGTGTAGCACAAGTAGGTTTAGGGGCTGCTTCTAAAACTCCGCCCACTTGTTTATATATTATCCAGGTCACAGTGTAAACGGCTTTACATTGGTGCATTACTGTCACATGCTTTTGTGTTGACATGACATGTGGTGGATGTGCACACTTTTGCATAAAGGGGAATTCATGTGTAGCATATTTACATGTGGTCCACTTACATTATTAGTGTAGAGATCACATATTCAACTTAGTCCTAAATGTGTTTTAAAAAAGTCTTCTTTTTTAAATTTTTAGGAAAATGGTTGCCACATTGTGATTTGGGTATATGTTAAACATCTCATACAGACATCTCATACATAGTTATTTGTAAGCGGGTAAATAGCTTGTTAACCCCATTATATGGCAGCTTTGCTATTAAAGAAAGGAAGTTTTTGCTCTTGGAAAAAAAAAAAAACTAACTCAGCACTCCTGAACAGATTTCAACAGAGCAGCACTATATATAGTTGGTTAATTGTTATCAATATATTGGCTTTTGCAGTACTGATCTCGCAGAAGGCTGCAGTATGCAAATTAGCTCTCTCATAAAACTGCATGATATGGACAGGAAAATTAAACTGTTGGACATCACAGTGATAATATGAGAAGTGATGCATTGTTTTATTTTCTGTGTAAACACAAATCTATGTTACCTCTTCTTTATGCAAACAGCAAAAAATACAAAATTACAAGTTTCACTGCTGTGCAAAATATAAGTAGTGCAAAACTAATAGCTACTCACATCAGAACAAGTAGTTAGGGCTACAGTAAACAATTAATTTCTTGAAAATGTATTTATGGTGATGCAGATTTATTGTGAGGATATCCATTACTGCTTTATTCATTTTATACACACCACTGAGAGTAAGAGTAGTTATCATGTTTGAAGCATGTAAGGACAGATTTTGAGCTAAGGACTTTGTTTTGAACTGTACACGTGTGTGTTTTTCATTTGGCTGTTTATACTTGCTCTCCATTTGTGAGATCAGGGTTCATGTCCAGCACAGGAAAGCACTTGTTTTGGCTTCTGAAGCTACATTCTGCCAATGTAATTGCATCATCATGCTGTTTGTGTGTGTTTATATGATCCCTTCTGCCATCATAGCCCTTAACATTGTGTTTATCATAGACAGCATGTATCACGATAATGATAAAAGCACTATTTGTCATGCAGCCCTACTCTGTAACCAATCACATCATTTTTTTACTCTGTGCTGTGAGAATCTTGACCAGTCACAGTTACAGATGAGTGTTTCTGTGGGTGTTTTGTGAATAAAGGTGATGTAATCCAACAAAAGCTAATTATTGTAAAAATAGTGAAGGCTAATCTTGAACCATTTCATGTTATTGGTCACCCAATGCATTTTTAAAGGGCCCACAGCTTACGTTTTCCACTCATGATATTTGTTTGGGTTTATGTACCAAAAAATGTAATTCATTTTTACATGTACATTTTCCCTCCTCTTGTTATCCCTTAGAAATGAATAGGCTTTTTTTGTTACTGTGATTTTAAGACTGATATATGTAAATAAGCTATGTTCTGATAGGCAGCTCTGTATTGTGCCTCATTCAAAAAGCAGGCCGTGCTTAAACACTCCTTATGACTTCACTGTGAATGGGTGGAGCTAAACTGTTTTAGGCTGAGTCGGCAGACGTAGACACGGATGCAAAAGTTTGGGCACTCCAGTCCGATGATGTGTTTTGTTGATATTCTGTGTGAAAATTTCTGTATGTGTTAATGCACCTGTACTGTTTATATGTTAAATTTAGCATATTGTTTAAAACAAAACAAAAAAAAACAAAGAGAATATAGAACATAGAAATTGTGCACTAAAATCTGCAGAAACACACTACACTTAAAGTTGTTCGCTGTAGAGGATGTTGTTTGTATTGTGCAACCCTGATGTGGAACAGAATTTTGCTTCTGTTGAGCCCTGTTTGCACACTTTCAGCAATAGTATTTTCCTCCATATGTTAATGGCATTGAAGAGAGCACAGTAAAGGTATGACTCTCTGGTCCAACCAGTCCTACATGTTTTGGACAGTAGTAATGCCACTTTCTGCTGCTGGCTGTCATGCATGGTTTTTATTCAAATGTGATTAATGTGAGAGTAACTGACTTTCACCCCGAGGAAAAATATACTTGCAGATCCGGTCTGGTATCTGCATGTGAGTGTGTATGTGACAGCGTGAGCTGCGGTATGTGCCCCGCTTGGCACCAAGCCACATGTGATTTTGTGTGTGTTTAGGGCCAGGCGGCGTTAGTCTCTGGGTCACGACTTCAAAAGCAAGCAAAGGCATTTCAAACATAGCTGCGTTTGCTCATCTTTGTTTGGTGTCAGAGCTGCTCTCTGTAGCTTATTTAGCCTCCGTTCCACAGCACCACCAGCCAGTGATCTCTAATGGAGCCAGCAGGTCATAGAGAGTTTGATAATTAGGCCTCACTGTGAGATTCAGGTGCCTGTGTGTGTTTGTGCTGCAGTGTCATTGATCTGACCCCATTACATGATTGAAAATGAAAGAGAAGTTTCCATTTTCTCTGGCCCTGCGTAGAGAATGGAATACATTTACTTGAATTACATAATGGATGAAGGGATATCATATCTCTGTGTTATATATGGGGGCAAGCAACAGTGACTGCTTATCTCTCTGTGTCATTTATCATGGCCAGTGTTGTGTTCCAGGAACTAGAGTTTGGGCAGGGCTAAAAGGACTTAAAACTGAGGAAAGGAGATTAAAAGTGGTTCAGACAGTTTTGCAGAAGATATTTGACAAAGAATTTGACATTACCTTGTTTATACCGCTTAATATTCCTGCATATACATACAGGCTCAGCTGACGAGGGATACTTCTGGCTAGGATCAGACGATCGGAAATACACTGCCCTTCAGCAGTTTGGAATTTGGAATCACAGTTAGTTCAGGCTTTGCAGTGCCATTCTCTGAGAGGCATCGTATGAGTGCCGGTATCTCCCGATAATGGCGCTCTGAATGAATTTTTTTTAATTATCACGTTGCCTTATTCACCTGTAATGTAGCAACAGCAACCAGCCATTAAAAGTAATAGCCATAGCTTTATTATGAGTAATAAGCCTGCTGAAAAGAACTGTAGTGATAGCAAGCGACCCAAGCAAGCAGCATGACGAAACCAAAACACTCCCACTGTAATGAGCAAAGCTGTCATATTAATACCTGCTATTCTGTAATAACTTAGACAGTGTGGATTGAAATATTATAAACACGACACAGAAACATTTTTTTCTTGTTTTGGGAACAACTGAGAGTGACTGTAGCAAAAAGTAATGAATATTACTGCAATTAAGTGTGGTTATCTTTAACTGCAATTATTTTTGTCATAAAATTATTATGAACAGCTAATTGATCAGTGAGTTTTGGTCAGTGTATTCAGAATATTAAAGGAATGGTTCAGCAAAGGTCAGATTTACACATTTTTCCACTTACCCCAGTTGTAGTCAGTCAGTCCAGACATGTTTGAGGTACAAATTTGCTGCTTTAGTTTTTCATCTTTGAGCCAGAGCTTCAATGCTAACATAGCTAACAAACTGTAGAAGTTAATCTTTTCCAGAAGTACATCCCCAACACATTCAGCTATATGGTGAAGATTTTTTTTCCACGTCTGTAGTTCACAGTCAGTCCTACTGTGTCCTTAACTTCATTGATGAGTCTGCGAGGCCTTAACCAAGACTTTCATGTGGTTTGAGCAGATTCCTTTATTTTTATGATGGGTTTATTCTCAGTTCTATACAGCTTTCTCAATTATCAACAAATCATCCACAGTTCATCATATAAAAATTGTGAATGTTTACAGCTCACAAGTACCTGCATCACTATTTTTAGAGAAAATAATGTATTTGTTTCATAAAAGGAAAAAAAAAAGATTCAAATTTTGGATCTGAACCTTTCTACTGTTATGTTTGTTAAAAACGATGTGAACTGTGTAGTTGGTGCTGTTGTTTGATGACTTAAACATTGCCCCCTTTATATAATGTTTTTTTTCTTTCCTGTTTCTGAACAGTGGTTTTATTGTAACCCTGTGGGGGAAAGAACAAGAAAAAAGGATTTAGTATAGTAAGGAAAATGTTTCTGGTAGTAGGTTGCATGATTGCTTTTTGGGGAAAAAGGACAACAAAGTTTGTGCTCATGTCTGACTCTGTTATCATTGATGACTTGCTGTCTTCATTAGCTGCACTGGCTTATCATACAGATGACTCCTACCCATTCAGTCACCCGCTAGCCAGTCTGTGACGCAGGCGTGCATGTTTTCGCCAGATGAATCACCAAGCTCAGCCCGGCTTAATCAGAAGGCAGACTGTTTATGCCTAGCTATCATAAAAGATATGCTTTTAGATATGTGATATGTGACCATTACAAGCAATCATTACTGTTGGGCCTTGCCTGGAGCTGGACAACAATAGAAGGGAAATGGCTAGCTGTCTTGTTTCTCATTGCCTTTTATCTCTACCATGGTAGAAAGAAAAACTTTGGCTTTGCTGAGTCAGCACAACTGCTTTCTCATGGATCAGTCCATCAGGCTCAGCTGATTGGCTGCGGAGAAAGACGGTGGGAGAGGTCAGCTGTTGCTAGGTGCTGTGAATGTGTTGTAAATGGGCTGGCTTGACTTTGTTTCTATGAAAGGCCTTGTTTGCCCTGGGCTTGTGGAGAGTAACAGCATTAAGGGCTTTGAAAAGTTGACCTGAAACAGTGGCGTTTCTTTTTACTGGTTTCTGAGAAGTGGTAATAGCAATAAAGGTTTTGTCTGGAATTCTTTCTGAGGAGTGCCAGCTTGATAGTTATATCTGCTGATTTCGTGCAGTTTAATCATGATATGAAATACAAGGAAACTTTTTCCTGTTTCTTATCAGAGTGTTGAACAATGTTTTTTTCCCCGTTTGTTCTCTTTCATTTCCCAACTTTGTGTTTTCTCTCAGAGTTTTGGGATCTGGATGGATGCTTTCAGAAACTGCTATTGATAGATCTGTCTCGCAGGCACTTCCTCTGTAGTGCCTTGTGCTTTTCTCTTAACCATGGCTGATCGGGCCTGCATGAGAGTCACGCTGCTGCTTGCTTTAGAATTGGTAAAGCAGGCATTTTAAACAAGCTTATCTGTGGTCTACATTGGGCTCATGTTAACCCTCTATAAGCCTGTACCCAGTACAGACAGGCTATATGTGACGCTAAATAAACACCCCATCTCCAACCAACCCATTACACAAAGCAGTTGGCACACTGAACTTTTAATGCTGAAACTGTTCTGATCATATTTGCTATAATCATTGTCGTAAAATGCCAGGTTTCATCAAATAATGAAAGAACTAAACAAACAACAAGTACAAGCAATGTAGCGATTAGGAGTTTTGGCCAAGATGATATTGTTTTTGTTTAAAATATCTTTCTGCTTTATGTTTTGGTAGGGATACAAAATCGATTATATTATATTAAATTATATTTTGGTATGGAAATTGTAGGCTGATGTCTACATATTTACCAGTGCTGATATATGTACTACGGCAGGGGTGTACAACTCCGGTCCTGGAGACCCAGTGTCCAGCAGAGTTTGGCAGTTTCCCTATTTAAACACACCCACTAAACCTGGCAATTAACAGATGAGGGTAATCAGGTGTGTCTGAGCAGGTAAATCACCAAACTCTGCTGGACACTGGCCCTCCAGACCCGGAGTTGTGCATCCCTGTGCTAGGGTGACCATACGTCCCTTTTTTCCAGGACATCCTCTTTTTGGGGCCTAAAGATTGACCTGGAGTTGTGCATCCCTGTGCTAGGGTGACCATACGTCCCTTTTTTCCAGGACATCCTCTTTTTGCGGCCTAAAGATTGACCCGGAGTTGTGCATCCCTGTGCTAGGGTGACCATACGTCCCTTTTTTCCAGGACATCCTCTTTTTGGGGCCTAAAGATTGACCTTGCTGCCTTTCTTGCCTCTTTTTTTGCAAACAAAAATATGGTCACCTTAACATAAATCTTCATAAAATGTAGAAATTGGGACTAAATCAGTCTGGGTTAGTATTACACAGAAATGTAATATTAATTTGTATGGAGTTATAAATGTAGAAAATGTAATAGAATATTGTGATTTTAACAGTTTTTCACAGTAGCCCTGCATCATCTAAACATTCTGTTTGAAATCAGTTTGAAATATCACTCAAATCTAATCATCTGCATGATGCTGAGGCCTGTGCTCAGTGACAGTTGAGTTACTGTTATAACAGCCCTTAGGTAAAAGCTAATTTTCTACCACAGTGTACTATTACCACAACTTTTACTGAACTGCACTTTGTTTTCCTTAAAAAAAAAGAGATTAAGACTTAACCCGTGTGGTATCACTGTTTTCTCCCATGTCCACTTCAGCATTGAGGACTGTCAGAAAACCTTTTTTATTTTAAGCTTTTTCTTATTTTTCCGCACAATTACCTGAATAAGACGGCTCTGTTGCCAGAACAAGCCTCCTGATGTTGATCATTTTAATAAGTAAATATCTACCAGTACTGACACGATTCCAATATCGTTATGCATTGCTAGATTTCAGTTATGTGGTTTCATTTGTGATGAGTAGGATTGTTATGATTCACAATATTCATAATCTGGTTCGATGCATATAGTGGTGTCTCAAGTCAATACATTGCTTCAGCACAGCAGTTGAAATGTGAAGTATGTTAATGTAAAGCTGTTATAAATTTCAGATTATTAGAGCATTCAGCATTATAAAAGTAATATATTTGAGGCTTTAGAAAGGAAAAGGGGAGTTTTGTGTGATGAAACACAAAAACTGTGCTTTATTGAGTCTTGACCTAATGTGCTAGCCATGAGCGAAGATGTTAGCCCTCAGCTAAAATACTAACCACAGGGTAACATGCTAGCTGCCATGTAGTGGTACAATTCAGCACAATACGATACATTATGATAAAATATGGTAGGTTTTTATCTTTACGTTTCTAGTGATTTTACTGTTACTTTGGAAAGTGCAAATCAACAAAAGGTATAAATCAGTTTTTGTTGTTTATGTCTCGTTCAAGGAAACCGCAAGCTCCGTGTACTTGGTAATGGAGGTAAGTTTAGCCTGTCTTTCTTCATTGTTTAGTTTATTACCCTGCCATTAGTCTAACCTCACCTCAGTTCCTGAGAATGACTGCACTTAGCTCAGTCTTTAGGCCTTAGGCTACAGAGTCACAGCTGTGCATAGCATTGGCTACTTCTAAACTATACATAAATAGAGCATGTTTGAATGTTTAATACTGTACCGTGAGCTTCCAAATACTTTGAGCTGAGTTTGGAAGCTTTTGATTTTAGAAGCTCTTGGTTAACTACCCCTAAGAAAACCCACATGTTTTCTCCCACAGTCCAAAGACATGCAGTCAGGCCAATTGGACGCGCTAAATTGCCCCTAGGTGTGTGTGTGTATGTGATAGTGTATGTCTGGGTGTCTGCCCTGCGATGGACTGGCGACCTGTCCAGGGTGTATCCTGCCTTCCGTCCATGACTTCTGGGATAGGCTCCAGCACCCCCCCAACCCCCTCCCCATAAGGATAAACAGTTAGAAAATGTGTGTGTGGGTGGGTGTGTGGGGTTAACTACCCCAGCTTGACACCATCAGAGCCATCAGAGGTCACTGGCTGGTCAGTTCCTTTTTAGAAAAAATGCATGGTGGGTTGGGGAAGGGGGTTAGAATTCAGTACTTCACAAAAGAATTGGAAAACAGCGGAGGTCTGGTCCAATAAGCATTTCAATGTCTCATCACAGTCCTTGATTCAGGCCTCTTCTTAATCTTCTGAAATTGTTTATTGCTTAGTAGTGGGCCATTGTCTTTGTTCAGTGATTCACACCTTGAGATAATGCTGTTTCTTTCCATTTGTAATCTACTAACAGTACTGTAATGGAGGAGACCTGGCTGACTACCTGCACTGTAAGTGTCATTAAGCAAAGTAAATAAGTGTGATTTGTGTTTTTCTTTCTTAACCTATAACTGCAAATATGCTTGGTTTAGATCTGATTCTAACATATTATAACTACTCAAATACATAGTCAAACTTAAACTTTGTTTTTGTACAAGAAACCACACCAATAAACAAGTTTCTCAGACTAATTGTTATAAATTTTCAGTTTTCTAAGTGTGGTGTTTTTTCAGTGGTCGTTCAAAGTGTTTTTCAGGACATCTGAAAGTGTCACAGCAGTATTTCTGCTAGCTTGAAGATGAAAACAGTGATATTACAGTTTGTTTTAGATGCAGCAGAACAGGCCCAGAGTTCGACTCAGGAAGTGAAGTAGGGAGGGGTGTATGTTTTGCTTAGAGTTGCAGGCTGGAGGAAGTTTTCTGTTGAGGCTGAGACACAGCAGCATGCTTTCAGAGGAAGCGCAGAGAGGCATGCTGTCTGGCATTCCACAAACAGTGAGGGAGCGAAACAGCGAAGCATTTGTTACCTCAGTAAAGATTGCTTGTGGAAGTGCACTGAAAAAGAGAGCAAGTAAAAAGACACAAAAGATCATAACTTTGCTTATAATGTGTCCTGAAGTGTCCAGTAGGACTCCAGCTATAGTACTCTTTTGAATAGGCTGAAGCAAAGAATGAAGTCTGTATGTGTGCTAAATTGTAGTAATGCACCAGAAAGCATGAGGGCAGTAATTGTTTGGAATCACTTGCTTCCCTCCCCCACCATAGCTAAAGGCACTCTGAGTGAGGACACCATCCGTGTGTTCCTGCAGCAGATAGCAGGTGCTATGAGAGTTCTGCAGGCCAAAGGCATCATCCACAGAGACCTGAAACCCCAGAACATCCTGCTCTCTCACCCGGCCGGCCGCAAATCACACTCCAACAACACGTGCATCAAGATAGGTAGGGAGTGTTTTTGATATAGTAAGGAGTCTATCCATTAATCTCTCTTTGTTCCTTTTCTTGTTGTAATATTTTGGCGCCTGGAAGCAAAGACTTCTACAAAAATATAAAGAAGGGTAGAGCAGTGGTTCCCAGCCCTGGTCCTGGAGTCCCACTGCCCTACATATACACCTGATCCAACTAATCAGCTCATTAAAAACCCATTACTGAGGTAAAGTGGGCACATTAAAGCAAGGAGGGCTAAAATGTTCAGGTCAGTGGGCCCCCAGGACCAAGGCTGGAAAACACTGGGATAGAGTATTTCTACACTGTCTTCAGAAGAAAAAAAAAGCAGTAGCGCCATAATAATGATGAATAAGTACGTAGTTTGTGGGTTACAGCACTGCCGTGACTGGTATTCAATTCCCCGCCTGGGCAGGCACACCATGCCATGCTAATAAGAGTCCTTGAGCAAGATTCCTAATGCTGTATTTGCCTACCAGGCTCGTATGTTATTATCATGCTGTCTGGAAAGAGGGTTATCTTATTTGCTATCCTTAGCACCTGTCTCCACTAACCAGTTTCAAGACAGCAGGTTGTAGTAACACCATATTACCTGCCGTGCCTACTTAAAGTGAAGTCAAAAACTTTGTTCTTTGTCAGAAGCTAATCTTGTTCTTGGTAGTTTGGTAGTTTTTGCTTTAAGTCTAATGAATTAAGTGCTTACAGTCTATAAAACTGTTGTGTAACCATGTGAAGTAGCCTAAAGGCCACCATAACTGTAGAAAACTGCATTGTCTCTTTAGTTTTTAATAGCTGTTGTAATCATTACATCAAAATCATTTGAGCTCCCGTTCATGTTTGCTGAAGGAAGCCATTCTGTGCCTAGAATGCTGCAGCGCAGCTTTATCAGTTTAACACGCACAACATTGGGTGGTAGAATAAAAGATCTACCTCGTGCATATTTTAAAGTTAGAAAACTTATTTGGGCTGATTCAGGACATGGACTAACGTTACACATTAAAAGAAAACTTGTTAAAAGATGCTCTGATAAGAGAGTTTGCCAAGTGCCATTAATGTGAATAAAAATATCCAGACTGTGTACCACACCATAGAACTGTTTTCGTTATGTTCTGAAAATGTAGGTGGAATAAACCAGGAATTCTTATTGCATTATGCTTTTTTTGGATATGCTACTGTAGTTAGTATATACTAAATTATTGCTGTTATACTGTGATCTAACTCCTAAATGTACACCATATGTGATGAGACTGACTGTTCTTCCTCTGCATAGTGGTATAAGTATGCATTTCAGCTTATTTCATTATTATTGCATTCATTATTATTGCATGATATACTGTCAGTACAAAAGTGCAAGATGGTTTAGTGTAGATGAGAAGTAATTAGACAAAGGCTATTGAAAGCTTTAGGTTGTGTTTCATTATTTTACTGTTGTATGATAGATTTTAGTAGAAAATGCTGCTTTCAGTTTGGAAGTTACTGATTAGTTCAGTACGCACTTATGTCCTGTTATTTGCAACCTGGCAGGTTTTGCATTCCTCATTCCCATTGAGAAAGCAGTCTTCAGTTTAGTGACCTGGCATGAATGTCAATAAATATTTTTTTGCTAATTGCTTTGTTTGTCGTTTTGAAATGTCCTGCCTTTCTGCTACCGTATCATTGCACATCAACAGGATGTGTTTAACAGGTTGTGTTTTTGGTTTGATCTGCATCTGCAGAGCTGTCACATTGTGCTTTCTCATTCAGTGAATGGAGGCCACTTTAACCCAGAACTGAAAATGCAACTGGTGCATACTGTGGTAGTTAATTTAGATGAACTGTTCGTCACTGTGAAACTTTCTGTTGCTGTTTAAAAGCACTGATTCACTGTAAATTTACTGAGATGTTGCGTCTTTCCTCTCAGCTGACTTTGGATTTGCACGACACCTGCAGAACAACATGATGGCTGCAACACTCTGTGGCTCCCCCATGTACATGGCAAGTATCCCCTGTGTCCCTTCTGTTGATTCTCATCAGCATCAGTGTTTCTGATGTGCATATAGTAACACTGGAATGCCCCATTGTCACACTAGGCTCCAGAGGTCATTATGTCTCAGAACTATGATGCCAAGGCTGACCTGTGGAGTATAGGAACCATTGTGTTTCAGTGCCTGACTGGGAAGGCCCCTTTCCAGGTGAGCACCGCTCCTTCTTTTTTAAGGCCAAAGCACAAAAATTCCAAACAGTTGTTTTTAAAGGGTCTATATAGGACATTTGTAGTCTTGTATGTGGACCAAAGTCGTCAAAAATATAATACAACATTTTATGTGCCGAAAACAGGCATGATTAATCAATAATTCTTACATAATTGTTATCCTTCAGATATAAACAGGCTGTTATTGTTACTGTGGCTTTAGGCTTAGAGGTGTATGTAAATGAGCTCTGTTCTGATTGGTTGTCCTGTGCCTGTTCAAAGCAGTTTGGGCTGAGAAACAGTAGGCGGGTATAAGTAATTGCTTTGGCTTTCATGACATAGAAACAGTAAATTCAAAAATTTTTTTTTTTTTCCAGCTTGGTTTATGTATATGGACTGTATGGACAGGGGAGTTAATGTTGCATTTTGAAACTTCACATACTGCGTCAAACTCTTTAATTTCAAGACTGTGAGGACAATGCAGTTTTCTGTGATACAGGGTCTTTTAATGAAGGTACAAATACTGTCGCCAACATTCAGCATTGACTCATGCCACTGTGTTGCAACTTCCTGCATTGCTGGGTATGAGTGCCACAGCCCATTACTCAGCATTTCAGTATTACTATATTAAATTAAACCCAGCCAAACCACAGAAATTGCTGGTAGATGACATGTGGCTTCGAAATTTACACCAAGAAAGGTGGCCAATCTAAAGTCTTTCAAATAATCATGCAAATGCTAATGGTCCTTTACCTCAGCTAACATTACTAGCCTAGCCTTTTGATTCTAATGGTTTGTAGCTTATAACAGCTAGTTTGTAAAGAGCAAGTATTTGATACCAAATGTGACAAATTCACTAAATGATATTAAAAGGATATTCAAAAACTTTGTTTATCATAGCTCTCACTGTAATATGTTCTGTGTAGTATAACTCCACTATGTGCTGCATGATGCTAGGATGTGCAGTAAGCTTTTGACCCCAAAGAAAAAACATTTAAATATTAATTAAATAACTTTGTGCTTATCTTATCACTTTCTTTAAGCGGTGTAAAAAATGCATGAATGCTATCCTGAATTAGTTAGAATAATATTCAGGAAGGTAAAAGCATAGCTGGCATTTGATGTAGCATAGAGGGTAACGCTTCCCACCCAGGCAAGCACACCATCCTGTGTATTCCTAACTCTACATTTGCCTAACATGATTAAATTGTAGGTCCTATGAGTAAATTTATACCCCAGTTTCTACTAGATTATTGTGTCAGTTTGAGTGTATCATAGGTTTTACATTTGCTATTCACAGTCTAAGTACCTGAGGTCAGCCTGCATTGTTGGTAGCATGAGAACCTTCAAAGAGGGCTGTGCTTCACATGAGGTCATGAACAGAACAGAACAAGTTCTTTTTATTCCTCTCCATCTGCCTTTATGCAATCACACTTCAGTCAGCTGAGTTGATAATCAGGAGTGCTTAGCTCAAACAGTCTTTTTCAGTCTGAGGTTGGGCCTATTTCTGCACCGGAGCTTTTGATTTAAAGGGCCAATATCAGGGCAAAAGACATTTTACTCATCTTTTTAAAAAATCATTTTTCATGGAGTGTTAAAGTTTCAAACCATACAGTTCACTTCTCCGTCCATGTGATGTGTTAATGGAAACTACTGGACAAACCGCTTGTTTTGAATGAACTGTTTTTGTGACATCACAAAAACCTACAGATTTATGCATAACTGCCTGTTCAGCCTATATCTGCCTATTCTGCCTATTGAGCTCCACCCATTCATGCTAAAGGTGTGAGTTTTTTAAGGCCAGACTGCTTTTTGAATACAAGGCCAATTTGACCCGAATGTCGTTTACAGATATCAGTCTTAAAGGCAGAGTAATAAAAACAGTCTGTTCTATTTTGGGATAAAGAAAGTTTGGAAAATTATAAATTATCATATAAAAATATATATTATGATGTTTTTGGTACATTCAAGTGTCAAAAGTGGACCCATATATATATATATATATAATGTACTATTACGTTTTGTATTATGTGTTCTGTCTTTGTGAGAGCACTCGCCAGATTTCTTTTTATGTGAAAACATTCTTGACTAATAAATGGTCCTGGTTCTGATTATATACCTGACTCTGTTATTTGGTTTCCATTTTAGGCAAGCAGTCCTCAGGACCTCCGCTTGTTTTATGAGAAAAACAAAAATCTCAGCCCAAAGTAAGTATGCGTTGCTGTGTATGCTGAAAGTTGTTGTTTTCCAGCAGAGTGGGCTCCTCTCTGCTCTTTCCTCATCTTGTTCATTTCATGCATTCTCTCTCTGTATCTGCAGCATTCCCAGAGAAACCTCCAGCCATCTGAGGCACCTGCTGCTGGGTCTGCTGCAGCGGAACCATAAGGACCGGATGGACTTTGGTCAGTTCCAATGCACTTCACCCTCAGCTGTTTTCTGTTTGCTCAAACAGTCCTGCTGTTGAAGTGTCTTTCCATGTAACTGAATATTTTGGTGAAAAATGGCTGCAGTTTTCCCCCTAGGTCAAATCTAGCCAATCAGCTAAGACAGATTTCATGCCCAAAGTTTACTTCTTTAATTTTGCACAAGAGCTACAAGCTAATGTTGCTAACTGATGAAAGACTTTCAGACAACTTATTTACCCCAGAAAAGAAAATCAACAAAGCAGGTCATTTGGCCAGGGGTTTTCAAACTTTTGCGTACTAATGTAAGCTTCCATTACTTCTTAGTTACATTAGCCTCATAGTTCCAGTGTCAAACTAAAGAAGCAAACTTGAGGCAGTAAACATCTTGGCTGACTAATTTGGGGTAAGAGGAAAACTGTGTGAATTAGATTTTTCGCCGAACTGTTGCTTTAATCAGGGTCTATTAATCCATTACTAAGTGGAATCTGTAGCAGATTTGTATGGTTTTCTGCCCATTATTGTATCAGAACAAACATTGTAAGATCTCTCTTTCAAGACCTTTTCAGTGCCTTCTTTTATCCTTATGACTTGGTGTGATTAGCACATGATGTATAACATGCAATCTTATCTCTTCACGTTATTAGATGAGTTCTTCAAACACCCTTTCCTTGAGGCAAGTTCCACCATGAAGAAGTGTAAGTTTCTTTCCTGTCCGTGCAGAGTTATGTCCTTTATCCTTTTTTTGTCCATATTTTCATTATGTTGTGTGTTCAGCGAGCAGGAGTCTGTCTCACAAAGCAGGATTTTTTGCATAGCCAGCAAACGTTAAGCTTAGTTCAGTCTAACTCTGCTGATTCACAAACAAGTCTTGGACCAGTCAGGGCTGAGCTCTTGACCAACCAGGGCAGACTTCTTGCTGCATATTCGCTAATTATGATTTTATCATTTTACCTTTTAGGGAAAATAAGCTGGTCGACTCCTAATGTTTCATGAGATTAGCTGATTATCATATGTCACATTTTCATGTGCACAAGGATTAATCAAAGCTATAGTGTCTAAACCTGAGTTAACAGGGAAAGTTGTTCACTGCTGTTGTATAACATGTTAACCACATTCGCCTTTGTTGGGTTTTGCGAAACTGAAACTTCACAAATCCACACTAAGCTAAACATGCTCTGTGAGACAGCGCCCAGATCTTTTGACTCTAATCTTATTACATTATTCCCTTACTGCCCTGCACAGATTCAGGTATTCTCTGCCCTCAAAACACCTGATTGAGCTCACAAAGAGCTTGAGGATGACCTGATGAGCAGGGAGTAGTTGAAACTGTGCAGGGCAGTAGATCCCCAAGACTTGGAGCTAAAAACCAATATATTAGTGTGTTTGTTTTCCACCTGCTTCACCAGATCATAATGGTGTTTTATGTTTGTTTACAGCGGCCCCTGTGACCCTGACATGTTTTCCCAGTTCAGCTTCTGCAAGTTCGTGTAGCAGCTCCTCCACCTCGCATCTTGCTTCTCCTCCCGTAAGTGCATGAGTACATCTCATTTACACTGCTGACTGGATGTTCTCTTTATGCCGCCTGATAAATGGCACATAGGGTCAGAGGTTTATCATTGTTAGCATAGCAAACAGTTCAGGCCTGCTGCCTCAGAGTATAGATTTTAAAGTTAATGCTTAACACTGTGCTCCACCTGGCAGAGGTAGATGAACATCTGGAGAGGAAACTTGCATATGCAGCACGTGAAAGTGTCATGATGAAACATTAGAGTGTGCAGATGCAGCTATGAATTTTAACTTTATGGTATAAATTAGTTGTCATTGTCCTGTTTGAGCTGGATTAGTTTTACCTTGGAAGACACTGCAGTTTAACAGATTTCTAGTCCTGTGATTTTAATGCAGTACTAATATGCAGTGTCTGTAATATTTACGGGTCTGATAGTAAGTGTGGAGCGAATAGCCTTCTTTAAGTGACTGAACCTTGAGCTCCTTCAGTAACAGCAGTCCTGTTCCAGTCCACCACACGCTAACGGAATAGCAAGACCTGCTAATAGACACAAGGTTGCAGTGTGTTGTTACTGTTACTGAGTTTCTGATTCTGAAAACGCTAATTCAGCTTAAGTAGTGAATGTTGTACTTTTCAGTTATATATGAAATAACTTAAATTGTCAAAGTCAATCTGATACATCCAAAAGTGTGTAGACACCTGCTCATGTTTCTTTCAAAGTCAAAAATGTAACTATGGAGTTTGTTCCCCTTTTGCTGATGTTGTGCTGATGTTGTGCTGATGTTGTGTTCAGCCACAAGAGCATTACGGATGTCAGGTACTGATGTTGGATGATTAGTTCTGGATCACAAATGCAACTCCAACTTATCCCAACGCCTCTAGTCAGTGCATAACATTGGGCATGGTGACCAAGGCTTATGTTGGTAGTGCTTTTCTATGCAAGTTGTTTGTGCACAATCGAACACCTGTGTCAGCAATGGGTGCACCTTAAAGTAGCTGAATGTATGAATTAAAAGGGTGTCTCAGTTCCTCTGTACATGTAATGTATTCATCTGTCCCTCTCTCTCTCCATCTGCAGCAGTCTCTTGGTGAGATCCAGCAGAATCGAGCGAAAGCTTTAGCTTCCCCTACCCAGGATTCCCCAGGCTATCTGCTGAAGGATTCAGGCGGCGGTGGCGGCAGCAGTAAGAATTCGTCCTGCGACACGGATGATTTTGTCATGGTTCCGGCTCATTTCCCCAGTAAGCCTAACTCTCTATTCGTCTCCCCTCTAGACCATATGCAGAGGACTGTTCCACAATCACACTCAGTCACTAGATGGCAAGTGACAGTCTATTAGTGTAGGATTCAGACCATTTGTCATTTTCTCACATCTCACTCTTCCACTCCTCCCTCCTTTTCCCCTCTGTCTTCTCTCTAGGTGAGCTCACATGTGAAATGCCCTCAGGGAAGGTGCTCCAGGATAGTCTGATGTATAGCGGGTGAGAAACCTACTCTTCTTTATCTCTCCACTGGAGCTTAACGGAGCACCTTGTGGTTGAAATTACTCTTTGTAGTGTACACAAAAACGCTTTACAGTCTCATCCTTCACCAAGGTGCTCTTTCGCCTGAGTCAGTAAAACGCCCTGCGCTGCAGTGGTACAATGAGAGTGTTTTGTTTCTCCTCTGCAATAGGAGTTCTTTCCTGGCGTCTGGAAGTCAGGGCGGTCAGGTCAAAACCCCACCACGTTCACCCTCATACAGCAGCTCTCCAGGACCAGCAGGGTAAGAGCAGAACAGTCAGATATACAGGGCTGCGGGGCCTGTCCACCCTTAACAGTCACATCCATTCTCGGTCACGTTCTCCCAGGGATCAGTGTCAAATCAAGGCGTAATGAGTTTTCACATCCCATTTCAATCCATTTCATTTTCAACTCAGTATTGAATATAAACAGCATCTTAAAGTCCAATTTGTCTGTAAATTGCGAAGAGTTCTAGTCACAGTGCAAATGCAAATTGCTGGTATATGACATAATAGGACACATTGTTAAAGTACCTTATATTTCAGTTTCATTTAAAATAAAAAGGGTTGTACACTAAGCTAACAATGAGCATTGTAGGAGAAGTGGGACTCCATTTGGTTTCGATTTTCCTGTTATAGAAAATATGGAAGGAGGCCTTCAGGAAGCTCTCTTAGGATAGATTTTCTGCAGATTGTAGTCTGCACATTCTTATGTGCACAATCTTTGAGCTGCAACAGATGTAGACTGTAGGATGCTGGTCCTGGATTTTAATTGTGGGTTACACCAAGAATCACACATTAGCAACGTTTACAATTAATGTACAGTATACAAACTTTTATGCTATTTAACTTTTGCATTTAACAGTGTAAGTCAAAAACCACCCTTTTGAAGTGAAAACCGTTAAGTACAAGATATTCATTTTTCAGCATCAGGAAAAAAATCGGGAAACATTTAACAGAAGCCTCAATGACTAAATCTAAAATAAAATCTTTTAGTATTTTGCGTTCCTCCCCTTTTTCTTTATTACTTCTTTTATTCTTTTTGGAAACTTACTTTCAGTTTTTCAGAGAGATTTGCAGAGACATTTTTCCACACCTCCATATGTCACTCCTAGAAGGTGTTTGCATTTTCTGCTTCTCACAATCCAAGTTATTCCGAACACCAGCAGCTTCTTTGTTTTATTTGCAAATTTTCATTTGTTTTTGTCTGTTTTTTCTTTTCTCAGTAACAGCTTCTTGATCCTTTCAGACCCATAGTGTTGTTGTGTTCTCACAGTGAAAGGATGGACACAAACACCTGTGCATTTTTTTTAGATCTGAAGCAAGAGTGGAGCTTGATTTTCAAGACCTTTAAGTATTTCTCTTTTGATGGGGGCAGATTGTTGGTCTACCAGACCTTACATGGTTGTTAGGAGTCCCATTTTTTTCTGTATCTTTAAATTGTCTTTTGAATTTCAGTTTGGGAAACTCCTGTTTTCACTTATTTGGTTCCTGACTTTTGCACAGTATCGTATGTACACAACCATTCAAAAGTTTTAATCACTTTTCATATTACTTGCTGTCATTAAATATCTCCTGCAGTCTAGATTGAAATTTTATAAACTAGACACCGAAACATATACCAATGATTTATTCACAATTTAAAGTGTTTTGGGGAAAATAACAGTTATAAATAGCAAAATGTTATTAAATAATACCCTCTGATTATTTACTTATTGTGAATTTTGTCACGAAATACCTATGAATAGCTTTTTGATCTGCAAGTTCCCCACATTTGGAATATGAGGCATTGTGGATATTCATTTTATTACAGGTTCATTCTCGATGCTATACAGCTTTCCGAAGTGGAATCATCTGTAGCTCCTATAGAATATTGGCATCATATTAGAATCGTTTTATACAAGTATCTACAACAAATTTGGGTTTATGTTAATGAAAATGAAGACTCCAGACTTTTGAACAGTGGTTCAAACTTTTCAATGGTGGTGCATTATCCACAGATTATCAACTGAACAGCAGACATGTTCAGTCAGTAATGCACAGTATATAACAATACACTGCCGTGACACTGTGTCGATACAGAGTTTCACACAGAAATGAAAGTGTTGCAGCATTAGACTTTGCTTCTGGCAGGATTCGTGTGTGCACGTGGCTGTCAGTGTCGGCTGTTTGTTCAGTGTGCTGTCTGGGAATAGGAACTGTTTCTCGGGGTTGTTAGTGAGTGTTTCAATATTGCAGCACCCTTTGAACATCATGCCCCTCAGTGTCTGTAGTTTTGTTTCATAGCCGTCAATGATTAGCATCAGTCTCGTCTGATAGATGGCGGATCAGATCAGCTGTATGAAAATCACACCCTCTGTGGGAATATTCTCCATAGTGCTGTGTTAGAAGTTCACATCCATTTGTTTAGGCTTGCCACTAGTGCTTACGCAGCACAGAGAGGAGCTGAACTACTGCAGTGCCTTTTTTCAAACTCTATTTTTGAACCTTAACAGCATTTTGTGACCGAACAGCTTGAGGAATCAGTAACATCTACCAACTTCTGCAGCTGCACCATCAATACTGATCAGTTTGTGGCTCCTTTTGTGTCTGCTGAAGTCAGCAATGAGCTGTTTTGTTTTGACATTCAGTGGCCAAGTGCAACCTCAGCGTTGGGCAGCAGGTTATGTGGGCAGTTCTCTTAATGATGGTAGAAAATTGCAGCAAATAGAAGATTCGTAGTTTTATCATGAAAGTATCCAAGAAAATGGTGCCATCAGAATCATTCATTGTCCCTCTAGAAGAAGATTTTTTGGACACTGGAAATTGGTCCCTGTAGTATTCAGCATAAAATAAATTGTGCACCATATAAGAAAGAAAAGAAGTTGAAGGGTTAGACTGAAGTGTTAGCATTTAGTTTAGGATGTTTAGGTTTAGTGTGTTGCTTCAAGTAGTGCACAGGCTATTCAGCCCAAATTCTAACATTAACCATTTTAAACTGTAAAATTGGTCACTGGCCAGTAACAATGGGCAACATCCACCAGCAGTGTGTTTAACGCTGGCCGTAAAGCTCACAGCAGCACTGCTGGTTTCTGCCACTCAATACTTACTGGAAATCTAATGAAAGAAATGTTCTTCCTTTTGATAGTGGTTCCTGTCTTCTGAAAGTTTTTTGTAAGTTATTTCTAGGGCAGTGTAATTGACAAAACATTAAAAATAAAGCAATGCAGGCCCTGAATGCCCTTCATTTGTTTAATTTCCAGTTAAAATGGCCTTTAAGTATCTTATCTATTCTTCTGAGAAAAATAGATAAGATAGAGAAAAGTAAAGAGAAAAATGAAGAAAAAAAAACAGGAAGAACTGCAAAAAAGTATTAAAAGATATTGAGAAAATGGGACTCTTAACAACCGTACAAGACCTGGTAGACCACTAAAACTGTCACCATCAGATAAACAGTACTTAAAGCTTTTATCTTTGAGAGGGAGGAAAGAATCAAGCTCCACTCTTACTTCAGGTCTGAAACAATCCACAGGTGTTTCTGTGCAACCTTCCACTGTCAACATATAACTCATGCTATGGCTCTGAGAGGATGTGTAGGTGACAAGCAGCCCTTACTAAGAAAAATGTAATAGATGTCAAATAAGCTGCTGCTGTTTTCAGAACAAACAAAAGTCCAGACCTCAACATCACTGAATGTTTGAGATTACTTGCATCTTGAAAGGCAGAAAATGCAACCGATGTCTGAACTCTGTAGGTGTGGAAATATATCCCTGCAGATTTCTTTGCCTCATGAAATGAATGGAAGCTGTAATAAAGGCAAAGCATTGACAGCCTAAATACTGAAAAAAGGCTGTTAAATGTTATTATTGAGGCTACTGTGTAATGCTCAGTATATATTTTCTGCTTTTTTCCTGATGCTGAAAGGTGAATAGCTTGTTCTTAAAGGCTGTTTTGAGTGGAAATTAGATAAATGGCAGGTAGTCTTGGACCTTTGCATAATCCTGTGTGTTCCTCTGTGCCCTTTCTGTTTCATCTCTCTTTGTCTACTTTATATCTTCCTCATCTCTCGTTCCCCCCTTTCTTCTCTCGTTCTCAGCAGGCCCACTGAATACTCTGTGAGTAACTATGGCAACTATGGTCAGTCTGTACCCATTCCCGTGCCCACTCAGATTCACAACTACCAGCGAATGGAGCAGAACCTGCACTCTCCCAGCCAGGACAGCTCCCCACGGTCAGCACACACACATTTGCACATGTGCACACGCACACACTTTCACACTGATTTCTTCACACTACACACATTTTGACTGCATAACCTCCCCTACGAATGTGGTCTACCAAAGGCCTTGACTCATAGAGTGTCTCATGCTTGTCTCATGCAGAACATGCTTAAACTCTTCAAAGGTTTAGAATCATTTGTCCAGTTAATAGATGTTGTGTTTTATTAAATAATAGCTTATACACTGTAGACTAAACTAGGCACCAGAGAGCTTTGTATGTGTTGTATACAGAAAAATGTATTACAAAATATAGAAAAATGTACTACCTAAAAATAGCGTTCTGTAATTATATGTTTATAGTAATTTCTTGTACATTCATCTCTTCAAGATTTGATCATCACTTCAAATATGAGACATTCTGAATATTAATGTTGTTATAACTTAATTCCAATAGCTATAACAGCTCTATTTATAAAATGATAATTTAGGAATCATATCAGTGTCACCTGGTAATTGCTTAAGAAAGCTAATAAGCATCAGACAAATGTTTCAGTTTTACCGCTATTTAAAGAAGATAATTTGTGCATTAAAATGTGCAGAAGTGTATTCTCTTTAGAGGACATGTTAACTTATTCACTTAGAAAATTAATAAATCATGGAGCGCCCAATATTTTGCATGCGACTGTATAAACAGTGAGGTCCAAAAGTCTGAGACCACATTGACAATGTGAGATTTTTTTTCATTTAAACCTAAAAACAAGCAACAGGTCAATATTTCTAGGTCACTATTCCAATTTAAGCAAATTTATAAATTAGAAAATGTTAAAGCCTTGTAAAAGGTCTTCATCACTTCCACTGAGGCATGTGTTTAGACTCTCAGGTGGGTTTGATGTACTTATCAGAAGCAATACAACAATACAACTTTAACAACAAATTTTGTTTTTAAATTAGAAAAAAATGCAAAATAGAAACCTAGAACTTGAACTGTCTCTAGTGGTCTCAGGGTTTTGGACCCCACTGTACATGAAAAATATCAGATATCAGCTTTGGCCCAAGAATCCCATTTTGGTGCATCCCTAAAAATGGCATTAAAAATCACCCTATGAAGTTGTAGGGTGCTGGCATCATATTGCAATAATTTGTTGACTGTATTTGCCACAAAGTTGTTTTCATATTATTGAAAACAATGATTCAGAACACGGTATTGCATTATGTCTTCCATGTCCACATATGAGAGAATCATGTGATAATATTCTGTGGTCTTGAATGACTCGGGGCTTTACTGCTCGACTCTGTGTATGTAATGTAGATGCGGCCCAATGCGGCGGTGCAGCAGTGGCAGTCCTCTGGGCTGTGGCAGGACAGGCCCCTCTCCCCCTCACCAAGGAGGCCTCCCCTCCCGCAGACTGTCTATGGGGGGCTCCAGACCCTTCCAGCTCTCCCCACAAGGTGAGCACTGCATTATACTCTTCATCAGCTCTCACAGCTAGGGATGGGCATGGTTACTTGACTAAATGGGTATCCAAACACATCTAGGTATTTGTTTGGAACGAGGTATGTGTCGTTTGGAATTTAAATAAATAAAGATTAAGAAAAAAATGAAAGAAAAGCACGCTCAAAGTTTTAATAAAGTGTTTGGAGACTCAAGAAGCAGACGTTCTGCTAAGTGAAATGGCAGCTTGTACGCAGAGCCAAATATATATGGGAATATTTCAAATAAAAAGATGACAAATGTATACAGTGTAAGCTGTGCAAATTATTCTTCTGTAAATCAACTGGTAGAGTGTTAAATCGTATATTCACCTAAAATATGTCACTAAATGTACCAAACAATCAGATGCCTATTACCATTTTATGCTAGCTTCACTCAATAAATACATTTTAAACCTTCAGTATGTTTTTAATATGACAATACGAATATGCTGATTAGGATTTTTGAATACTATTAATTTTAAAAAGCAGACGATTTAATAGCAAAAATGGTAATATGCCCATCTCTAGTCAGCACTGTATCTGTCGATGTAGACTGTGTTTCTTAAACAACTGTTTCCTCTCCTCTTTGTCTCAAAAGTGGGCACCATCCCTGAGCTGCCAGGCCAGGCTGGCCTGCAGGGCACAGAGACGGGCCACAGGGGCTCTTGGGGTGGAGGTGAGAACGCCCTCCCTCCATGTCCTCCCTGCAGGCACACACTTTAGTTAAGGCAACCCCAGTTGTAGTGTTTTGAGCTAGATCTTAGCTAAGTGGTTTTAGATTATATGAATGAGTTGCTTTAAATGCAGTCCCTGAGGACTCCCAGCTGTTCCACGTAATTATGTAATCAAGTTCCACTCGAGCGCAGAACGCTGGGTTCAGGTGTGCTGTAAGTGGAACAGAGTAAACATGAGGAATAGTGAGTGTTCTTGTGGGACTGAAGTGAGAAGGTTTGCAGATATAAATATTGGTACCTTCTTTATACCAGTGGTTTTCCTTCATGACCATAGAGGTTTATTGTTAAAGGTGGGCAATGTGGGCACAACACAGTGTCACATTACATTTCTATGGTGAAAAACAGCACTGCCACATTTAAAAACCACAGTATTTTTTTTAATTCAACATTTACAGTAATAAACAATTTAGTATTATTAAGTATTATTTGGATGGCTTTATTTTTACATGCAGGTTTGAGGCAGTGCATTTCTGTCAATAGATGTCAGTAATGTGTATAATTGATTTGCTGTATAAATTACAGACAAAGGAGTGGCTTCACAATTTCCACGTTGTCATCACACCAGAAAAAGTTCCATACACAATATGTTCAGCTGCTCACAAGTAGAAAACATGTCCAAACATCCAGTTTAATTGTAATTTTGTTTACCCTAACCATCTGTCTCGCAGTCTTAAGTAAAAGCAATGCATCGTTAGCATTGCCATTATCTTGCGAATTTACAGTCAGTATGCACTTATTAAAACCTTTTATATTCGGAGAGCTACACTGGAGGTAGGACAATACATATCGCTTAGTTTTGGCAACAGAGAATACAAATCAATGCTTTAAATGCCTCCATATTTGTGAAAAAATGCAAGACCTCTTTTTCACGGGATATGATGTGTAGTCAGTTAAACTTGGTGACATTTGGATGGGACTACAAACACTGAGAAGCACTGGTAATAATTACTGCAGCTTCCCATATAAAACTAATCCCATCCGAATAATAGCTAAAGAGGAATTCTACCAATTAAATATTTCAGCATAATTACATGGTTAAGACATAATCAATGGCATTTAGGGTGGGTTGACGTGAAATGGTCCATTCTAGAGAAACTTGAGTCAGAATCGTTCACAGTGGAGGTGTTAGGAACCAGACATCCTAAATGTTGTGCCTCTAAAGCTGCCTTTCAAGATGTAATTATATTAAGTGGTTACGAATGACCTGCCTAATCCCTGAAAACATTGTTTTTTGTGATAATTTTAAGATAGAATTTTGGCCTGAAATGTATTTTTAAAATACATTTTTGGCAGAGAAGTACATGCAGGATGGTGCAAGACAAAACAGTTCCCAAAGAATAGTTTTTTTTGGATTTATCACTATTTTACCAATATCAGCATTACATGTACAAGCTCAGGAGACAAATGGAGACAGTTGTGGAATTCTCATTTAAGACTGGAATAATGGGCTGACATCCCAGCTCTTTGTTACTTTTGTTGTTGTTCACAGGATCTTTGTAATTAGTCTAAAACTTTATTTAACAATGCCTTCAGTTATTCACTGTTCTACAAGTACTGTGATGCCTATGAAGTACTCAGAAAAGCAGATCACCTTGTAATGCGTCACAACGTTTTGTCATATTGCCCACCCTGATTGTTATTTGATACAGTGTATTGTATTTTGACAGAATCGTTCAAACAGTTACGCGTAATTCGTGCAACATTTTCAGATCTGTCACACTTCTTGCCAGTGCTGTTTTGGAGCATCTGTTATGAATATTAACATCTTGCTGAGACAAGCTGGGATGCGACATTGCATCTCTGCACTCACACTGTATCCCGAATGCCTGCTTGCTCTGTCACCATATTTTTATTTGTAGTCTGCATTGCTGAGCACAAACAGAAGGTCCACAGTGCCCACAGCTCCCCCAGCCTCTTGTTTTATAATTTATCTGCCCTCTGGTCTGTGTCATGCTGTTATTTACGTCAGCACAGTTCACCCAGGACCTTTCTCTGCTCTATTTGTTCCAGCTTTCCAGATTCCAGAGGCCAAGGCCCGTCCGCAGCAGCAGCAGGGGCTCGGCTCACGCCTACACAGCGCCCCCTGTCTACTGGAGGCTGCTGGTGGCTGCAGGCAGACGATCAGGAAGCAGCACTCGGACCCTGTGGTGGCCCCTCAAGGGGGCATGGTGGCCCTCAGGCCTCTGCATTCCTCTCCTAGACTCAGTGAGCTGATGCAGCGTAGCCCTCTGCCCACCATCCTTGGATCCCCATCAAGAGTAAGTGGCCCTGGTTTGTGATTTGTGTGTGTATGTGGGTTTTTTTTTTGTTTTTGTAAATGAAAATGATCAACAGAAAAAAATAACATAAGAAGAAAGTCCAAATCAACCAATTAAACTTTAAAACCTGTACCTCTTATTTTTTATGTATCTGTTTTACTCACTTGCACACTACTGACCAAAAGTCAGAGGCCACCTTATTGTTTACTTAATTTCCAGGCAGAGTGGACATGAAATAAAAATTATTCATTTTTCAGTGTCAGAAAAAAGCAGGAAAAAACTGAAGAAACATAATTTACAAGTATAAAATCAAATCTATTAGTATTTAGTTCATCCCCTCTTTACTTTTGTGTATGTACCACTTTAACTCTTCCATTTTTCCAGTCTTAAAAACAAACATACAACTGTCCTCCTAACAAAAGTTCCCAAAGGAGTCACTGACATTATATTCCCCTTTGAAGAGACACTAACATTCACCCAAGCAGCTACCCAGACTCACTGTAGCTGCCTTGCATATTTCTTTCATCTCAAATAGCTAAAGGAGATCTTTCTGATGAGATTAGATAAAAGACAATCCACTTGGAGAATGTCAACGGAAAGTAAGTGAAAAACAGGAGTTTCCAAAACTTGACTAATGATTAAAAGATGTAGAGAAAATGAAAGTCCTAACAACTTTGCAAGACCTGGTAGACCCTGAAAACTGTCCCCATCAGATAAACAGCACTTAAAGCATTCAACTTTAAGAGAGAGGAGAAAATCAAGCTCCACTCTTACTTCAGATCTGATCCACATGTGTTTCTGTCCATCCTTCCACTGTGAGAAGACTCAACGCTTTGGATCTGAAAGGATGTGTAGCTGTCAAGATGTTACTGAGAGGAGAAAATGGACAACAACGAAAAAAAATTGCATCAGAATTTGCATTTGACGTCTGAGGTTTTATAGACTGATGAGTTTAAATTTGTAATTGAGGTTGCTTAGATTGTGAGAAGCAGAAAATGTAACTTCTAAGACTGAACTTTGGAGGTATTTACAAGAAGCTGGAAAAGTATCCCTGCAGATTACTCTGAAACTGAAAGGGAGTCTCCTGAAAAGAACAAGCTGTAACAAAGTCAAAGGGTGGATGTGGACACACTAAAATTTTGATATGATATTTAGTTGCTGGGACTTCTGTGTAGTTTTCTGTTAAATGTTTTGTGCTTTTTTCCTGATGCTGAAAATGAATAACTTGTATTTGATGTATGCTGTGACTGTTTCATCTGTTAATATTAAATTGCTTTTTTATATTATGAAAAATTGCTTCTTGAAGTACCAAAGGCACCATATAAACAGTAGTGAGTTGACTTGGGGCTACACCCAAAGTAAATAAACTGTCAAGACCTAAGCATTTAATTCTTTTCTTGTTTTTCTTCTCAGGCTATGCCCCCATTTGAGTTCCCAAAACCACCCAGCTCCCCCAACATGGTCACTTTTTTGACCCAGCAGGGCTTAGTTTTCCCATCATCTGCCAGCAGGCCATCCCAGGGAGAGGCAGGCCTGCCTGCTGCCTGCCAGCCTGAGGAAGCCAAGGCTTTTGGCAGGTATGAGCTGTGGGAGGAGGTGACTTTTGTGAGGCGTTTTTGGCAGATAGATAGTTTTTTTGTGAAAAGAAGTCGCAAGATGATATACAAGAGTCACACCCTCCTCATTCTTCACGGTCACCCTTTAATTATTTGTGTCTTTCTCATCCCTCTTTCACATGTTCACTGGACACGCTCTGTTGTTCCTCCAGGTCCCAGAGCGCTGGCCGCCTGTCGGACATGCTGCTGATGGCAGCGTTTGGGGGACAGCTGGGAGACAGAGGGAGCACGGAGAACCTCAGTGCTGACAGAGACATAGATATAACAGGTTAACTCCTTGCACTCTCTTTTTGATTCTCCCTCACAATCATATAAACACACACCTATTCAAATCCCTGTTAGTGAGAACAGCTCTAGCAAAGACTATAACACACTATTTTGATTGGCTTATGTGGTAAACAAGATAAGAAACAGTTACATCACTGGAGTGAAGTGAGTGACGTGTGTTATTATATCTGGTTGAGTCAGTATGAGATTAATGATTGAGAAGGTCAGTATAGTCTTATGAGAAGTCTATTTTACCAGGAAAGCAGTTGTCTTCAGTTGAGCCCTTCTTAACCTCGGCCAAGATTACACAAGGCACACTGCTGGAGATAAATACTTGACATTTGCCTCATTATTTACTGTACTTGTTGGTTCTCAGAAGTTCCACATTGCAGTAGCAGATTTTATGACTTAAAAGGTTCAATGGTCTCATAAATTGTGCTTTAGTTATCTTAGTAGGTCAGTGAGCATTTCACGCAGACAGAATGTGTACATGTCCTATAGAAAGTAGGACAAAAAATGTCAAACGTGATAAGCTGCATCTAATAGAAACTGATATTTGAATTTTAGAGAGATCAGCATCATTTATCAGAGAGATTTAATGTTCAACATGTAGTCATATGCCTATAAAGGAAAAGGTTCCCATTTTTTAATGGTAGAGTGGCTCAGGGTATATGTGTACATGAAGTTTTGCTTTTTTCATTTAATTTTTTTTCTTAAATATTTCTTCAGTTCATGTTGCTTAATGGAATTATTAGATTAAAAGGCCCATAACCTATTTTATACCCTATTTTTCTCGTTTTTTTAGTTTTTCCCCTTGGAGTCCACTTATAACGTTTGTGTGCTTTTATGTATCAAAATGGTCATAATTCATATTTACATGACCAGTTCCCAACCTCTCTTTATCACTTTTATCACTCACACTGTTTTTGTTGCTGCATCTTCAAGCTTCATTCAGAAAGCACTTAGAGCTAAAACATTTGTTAGAACTTCAATATGAATGAGTGGAGCTAAACTGCTGTAGGCTGAGTAGGTGGATGTTTGTAAATGAGTTGGTTCTCATAACATCACAGATTCATTCATTCAAAACGGGCTTTTTTGGAGCGTGGTTTTCATATATGGACTGTATGAAATGGGGAGTGAAAGGTTGATCTCGAAACTGACAGTGTTTCCGTTATTAGATCCAACCAGAAAACCAGAATTTTAGATGAAAACATTTTTTGTTAAATGAAAGTAAAATCATTGTATCAAACACTAAAATACACTGTACTGCATTGTATTATGACTACTGAATGTAAGGTTGAAATTAAAATTAAAAGTCAGCATGAACATGAAATACTTGAACATGAAATATTTATTTTAAAAATAGAACTAATCAAAATAATAATAACAATAATAATAATAAAACTGATAGAAACTGATTTTCACAGAAAAGCAGAGAATAGTATACAAATAAAGTCATTGCTGTAGTAAAATACAGAATTGTTGCCTTTGTCTTTGTTGCTGCAAGTGTCTTCTGTCCGCACTATAATTTTCTCTTGTGTAAATGTTTTTGCTTGTATGAATGTTTTTGCTCCACAGCGCCTTCTGGTGGTGGTACCATGGTGGTAGGCTCAGGCAGTCCAGCACGTGTGGTGTTCACTGTGGGCTCACCGCCCACTGGAGGCACCCCACCACAGACATCTCGCTCCAGGAAGTTTTCAGGTTCTTTAAAGCCCTTTTCAACTCTGTTCGTGTGTTGCTGATTCACAATATTATTTTTCTGCAGGCTTTTATGCATTTCAGTCCCATATGCAAGGGAATCGAAAATGGATATTGGATGTTGGAGGTTGTTGTATAACTTAGAACTTATTTCAACTTAGAAAATCATTAGTAATATGAACAGCGGTGTTCAGACTTTTGCATACGCTTGTACATAATTGATAGTAGGTTTATTTTATTTTTTTACATTTTAATGTGAGAAAGTCAATAGCATACATTCCAAATGAGATCTTTCAATTAGATTGTGCCTCATTTATAACCTCATATAATTTGCTTTTTCTTTCTTAATTCTTCCTCATTTTATTATCTTATGATCTGACGGTGCACAGGTGAACTCCGTATTTAAAGAGGACATGCTGAGACGCTGAATCACTTGTGCTGTATTTCTGTGGATACTTAAGAGATTGCTGCTTTCATGATCCCAGAACACAGGACTTGGGCAAAAGACCATGTGCAATTTATTAATATGGCCATGGTTAAAATAGTGCTGATGTGTGGCATTGTCTGCTTTCTGTCTGCTTGATGTTGTCAGTAAGCAGGTTAGAAAAGCAACATTTTTGCCTATTGTTGAAGCCCTATAGTGATTTTTGATCTCTCAGCAGGCTCTTCAAGCTCCATTAGCCCCGTGGGTTCCCTCACCAGCCGCTACCCCCATTCAGGAATGTGCTTGGACGGCTATGAGAGTCCCCGTTATGGTCTTACTGACCCCATCTCTGCCAACCTAGAGGGAGGTATAACCTTTGAGGCCCCTGAGCTCCCAGAGGAGACACTAATGGAGGTTTGTATGTGTGTGTCTGTTAATTTGGTGTTTCTCTCATCATCTGAATAGCCTTGTCCTGTGTGTGATGTCAGTAAACTGAGTAACGCGGTTTATGCTCTTTTGACGGCAAAGATCATAAACCACTGGTTAAAAAGATGCTGTTAATTGACTTTGTGCAAAACCACAAGAAGACTAATGTAGGCTGTTCCCATTTGACACAAAATTGGGGTTTAAACCATTTTGGGTGTTACTTTCAAAGGACTCTAATATGCTTGTACTGTGCAATTTTGCAGCTTTCATGAAATTAGTAGGACACTAGGAAGCTGTAAATAAAAACTAATTTGCTATGTCCAGGGTGATGAACGGAGAAAGCTATATAGCATCAAGAATTAAGTTATAATAAAATAAATATCCAAAATTAATCATATTTTAAAAAGTTGAGATCAAATATCAAGACAGATAACTTGACTACTTTAAATTAAATTGATGTTATTTGATAATTACAGTACATTCATTATCATTTTATTTACTTCTTGTTCACAAAATGCTTTAGTCAAAACATCTGAAAATACTTTTTGGTGGATAGTTATGTAAAATTTCATGTAATATATGTAATTTCATGTTATATATGTCATATTTAAACTCATTGTAATAGTTATTATTGTGTACAAACTAAAAATAGCTAATATGGCGAGTGAGTCCATGTTTTTTTGTACTGTAGCGTTTGCTGGTGCCAGTAGATTGTTTGGAGCATTTCTATCGGACCATTCATCATGAAATCAAAAGAGATCTTTTAAAATAGTGTTAAAATATAATAAACAACAATCAAAACATTACAAGATTTGATGACTGTGATAAAATCATGGTGAGGCCAGTGATTCTCAGCTCAGAAATGGTGAATCTGGGTCAAGGTGTTTCTTGGTTTAAATACAGCAGAACCCACGCCCACGTTCTCCGGTTCCACTGCAGCGCATTTTTATAGTTAAATTACCATGAAAGTTGTGTTACCAGCAGAGCCCTAGTGTGCACTGCTGTATGTGATCATGTTGGTTTGTGTTCAGCATTTTGTCTGTGTGGTGGATCTCTCTGCAGCAAGAGCACACAGAGACTCTGCGCAGGCTTCGCTTCACGCTGGACTTTGCCCGATGTATGGTGGAGGTGGCGGCAGCGAGGGGTGGAGAGGCTGAGCGGATAGAGCCGGTGTCCACCTGCCTGCACGAGCAACAGAGCATGGTGGCCGACCAGATCAGCTCTCTGAGCCGAGAGTGGAGGTGAGAAGTCCAACAATGCACACGCATACTTGCTGCATCCTGCATCTTAACCCTACAGGATTTCTGCATGAAGCTCTTCATTCTGTACGCAGGATGATTGTATAAATGATGTGGTAGCTGTGAAGTAAGTTGTTATTGAGTTTATAGTTTATGAGTTTGTGATTGTGTTTTAATAGTGTGAGGTTCAGTAGTGCTAAAGTGTAGTATATGTGTATGTTGCAGTTATGCTGAGCAGTTGGTGCTGTATATGAAGACTGCAGAGCTCCTGTCGTCTGCACTGCACTCAGCCATGGAGGGCATCAAACAGGGCAAACTGTATCCCTCCACCACTGTCAAACAAGGTCAGCAGGCCACACAGTTTAATTTCTTCATTGAAATAGTCTTCCATCATCTGAACTAGTTATCTTTGATGGTTTCACTTGCTTTCAGTAATAACCACAATACAACATGCCATTGTATCGTTCAGTACGAACCTCTTGATTTAATTTACATGGATATCGAACAAAACATTCAACAGACTAGAACAAATTATTATTCTGTACAAAGTTATAATAAAAATGAAACTTTTTTACATTAAAAGATGTTGGTTACTGTTTGGCAGATGTTAATTTCTTAAGACTGCAGTATTATAATGTTTCTGACTGAGGAGGTGGTTCAATCTTGTATCTTCCAGTGGTCAGGAGGCTGAATGACCTGTACAAGTCGAGTGTGATATCATGTCGCTCTCTTAGTGCACGTCTGGAGCGGTTCTTTTCCCGCAAGCACCGTCTGATGGACCACATCAACAGCATCACTGCAGAGAGGCTCATATTCAGCCACACTGTGCAAATGGTACGAGGAAACTGTGACTCACAGATCACCCTGACTCTGTGTAATGATGGGCAGGCAAAACATGCATTTCTCACCAGACGGCCATGATCTGTTGATTTCACCAACAGAATCTGATTGCAATATGTGTTGTAATTTGAATTGGCTTCTGTGTGTGTACATAGGTGCAGGCTGCAGCGCTGGACGAGATGTTCCACCAGGGTGAGGCTTCAGTGCAGCGCTATCATAAGGCCCTGCTGCTGATGGAGGGTTTGTCTCTGCTCCTCACAGAGCAGGCTGATATCCTCAGTGTCAGCAAATGTGAGTTTGACCACACAACTCCTTATCCTTTTCACATGTGTTAGGACAGTTTGTACCATTAAAGGCTGATTTGTACTTCTGCGCAAAAGTATCTGCATTGAGACACAGAGAAGTGGTTTATAGGAAAGACTAGCTCACACTAGTCATGACATGCATGCTTCCAAAATCTCAACTACACATCATGCGAATCTGTGAAGCTGTGCGGCCAGTGAATGCTGATTGGCTATCCGGTAGTGTTGGTGGCGAGATTAGACCCAAAAAGTAGCCTGAGCCAGAACTAGCACAAAATCTCGACCTGTTTGAGAAACTTCTTTAAAAGACAGTAAACACATTCTAGTTTGGACATCGCCCCTCCAAGTGCACACATTCACGTTACGTTTAAGTATGTTGGCAGAATGTCTGCGCACAATGCAGAGATGCAGACACAAATCAGCCGTAGCTGTGATTAACCATATTAATCTCCAACCACAACCTCTCCAACCATCTGATTCAAGTACTATTTTCAGGAAACAATTCAAATTCATTGTGAATGTCGGAATTAAAAAAAAATACACGGAATACGCAAATGTGAATGTACTCTTAACACAGTAGTGGTAGATAATAAAAGGATTTATACATTTGAAAATATCCTGAAAATTCTGTTTTGGTTAAAAAAAAAAAAAGATTGCTTACTTTATTGAGAATTGTTAGAATCAGTTATCATCAGTTCTAATTTCATCGAAAATGTATTGGCATAAACATATACATGTTACAGTATTACCAAAGCAGATCTGTTCATCATACAGTAGCATAGAGAGGTTTGAGAGGTCATAGTACATGTTTTGTTGATATTCTAAGTTAAAATAAGTCAACATCCTCTACAGGAAACAAACTTGCATATGGCATTTGTCTGCCACTATCCACCATAACTTCTTGCACAGTGCACATTTTATGTTGAATTTTTATGTTAAATTCATCAAATAAACAGTAATTGTGCAGTAAAATGTGCAGAAGTGTGCTCTCTGTAGAGGATGTGTTCACTTATTTTCACTTAACAGTAACTCAACAAAAAATGTCACTTGAACAGGGACACCTAAACTTTAACGACTGTCCATCAGTCTACTAAGCGGTCAATACACAGACACACCAAATGCAGCTGAATGCAGCAATGCAATATTTTTTTCTGCCTGTACAGGTAAGCAGTGTATTGAGCGTCGTCTTAATGCCCTGCAGTCTGGCCTGTGCGTCTAGAGCCCTGGTTTGGTTCTCTGCTGTTCTGCTGCTAAACCTGCCAAGTTCCCTACATTCCTCTGAAGCACCCCAGCTCTCTTTCCACCTCTCCGGCCGGCCTTCACCTCCGGGTCTGCCTGGAAATGCAGGTTGAGAGGACTGAGCTCTTGCTGATACGGACTCCACAGCTGAGTGCGTGTAGTGATGCCTGCAGTAAAGCTGGGGACTTTGTAATGGAGAGCGGCTGAGCTGTGCCTGCTTTGGGCAACCGATCCCCAGCACCACGCACGCATCAGATATCAGGCCAGTTCACCCAAAGGGCCAATCATCTGCAGGCAATCACTTCAGCCATCCACGATAAGCAGGCTCTCACTGATTCCTTCACATTGTCTCTGCAAAGGCTGTGGATCTGTCTCCACTCTACTTATACAATAAGCTGCACTGTGTAAACGTCTTTATTTTCTCACAGACATGATGATTTCACTTTATAATGGGAATGTGCAATCACAGTCAGTTGACAGGTCTGCGCCTGTGTACTCATCAGCAGTCGGATTGATTTAGTCATGAGTTGGAACTGTCGAAAGGCAATTTCACAAATCTGTTCAGGTGTCTCCCCAGCCACTTCAAGACACGTTGAATGCTTTTATCTTTTAAAAAAAAAGCATCCTGATTTTTGAGTTTGTGTTTTTGTTTTTGTTTTTTCCTTTCTGATTCCAGTTTTCAGTTTGAGGAAGGCACACTCACTGGATGAATGTTTTTGGACCAGAAAATGAGACTGTGTTCTTTAGGCACTTGCTGCCAGGTTAGTGGGTAGTGCATAACCTGCGGTTTAGTAAACATTGTCAAAGGCTACAATCAGGCAGCATTATTTCGCCTGTGCCACTGAAACCATCCCATTTAGTTTAAGCCGTCGTTTTGCTCCGATTACCAGTGAGGCCATGTGTAGCACTTTAGTGAATGTTGACCAATCTAATGAGAGATTGTCCAGTTCCTCTTTGTCTCCAAATCATACAGACAACAAAAAACTGTCTGATATATGGACATCTCTTGATCACTTCTTTTGTATTGGGTTTTTTTTTCTTTTGTTTCTTTTATTCAGTGTTTTTGTTGTGTTTGGCAATCATGCATTTGTATATGTGTCTGCATCTTAAGTGCATGTGTATGAATGGAATAGGCCAAGGTAACATGCTACAAACACAAAGCGAAAAGAGCCCGAACCCTTGTTGCATTATTTAAAATGATGTGGTTGCAGGTTCGTCTGTTTAATAGAAACAGCTGAGAATCTAGGCCAAAGTATAAAATTAAATCATTCACTTCTATTTAACCGACATTTTTGGGTGGGATTTTAACCTGCCAGTTTCTTTAGACTTACAATAATATATACACTCCTAAAAATAGCCATAACTTTGTTTATTTGTAATGCCTGTGGTGAATCAGAAAACAAAAGGGCAAATCTTGGCCTAATACCAATACCTTCTGTAGGTTTACTGCGCTGTATGAGGGCTCATCAGTACTGTACGTCAGGGAGGGAGCATTTTAATGCAACTTAAGTTTCTTTTTAGAGTGTGTCCAGTGAGTGCTTTTAAGCTTTAGATATATTAATGTGTGCCGTCTTTGAGTAGTTTTGTGTGTCAGATATAAGTTTAAGCTATTTAAAATATTGAAAAATGTGCCTTTCAAGAAAAAAAAAGCAAAAATGGAAACACTGAAAAAAGTTTTTGTTCTTTTGTCACGTGCTATTTTAACGTTTTTTCTCATTATTTCCTAATACTCGAATGAAGTGATGCTTGTGTTTTGATGTTTGATTATATTGGACTAAGTTGAGATGGATATTGGCTTCAGCTTTGCGAAATGTAGTTAGTGTGTTTGGACTGACTTGTGTGTAAAAAGGTGTAAGATGGTAAGTATATGCCGTATTTTAATCGTAAGAAGATTTAGTTTTGAAAGAGTGATGCGTTATTGCTTGATGGTGCCAGTTACAGTGTGAATTGAACTGAAGATGTTGCATGTGTTATGACTCTCACCATTTTTGTGTAAATGTGTTTCTGCGTTATCAAGGCATTCCTATGTGTTCTCTGTTTGCTTTCCATTGTTAAAACCATCCCAAGCACACTGGGCAGGTTTTCACTTGTTCAGTGATTTGTGTTCAGACTTTTATGTTTAGTTCTTTATACATAAAATATGCACCATCTTTGAGCTAATACTAGTATCTAAAGTTTTGTAATGTCAGATTCAGATCAATTACACCAGTGTTCCCCAACTCCAAAAATCAGTTATTTTTTGCTTTTTTTTTCCTTTTCCATTTCTTGCAGCAGTTTGTGAAATTATTGACTTATATTGACAAAATAATGACTTACTAAGTCAAATTTGAGAAATTATCTTGGAAAAAATAACTTGGTATGCTGGAATAATGACTTAGTGTGTCAAAGTAATTACTTATTTTCTTGAAAGAAGTACTTATTTTTTGCAAAATAATAACTCATTGTTATTTTGTCTCAAAATAATGACGTGTTATTGAACTTTTGACTTAGTACCTGGAGAAAATTAATATATTGGAATAATTACTTACTATGTCAAAATAATGACTTATCTTCCTGAATTTTTTAATGTACTAAAGTAATCACTGAGGTAAAATAATAATGGCTTATTCATTTATTTTAAGATACTAAACCAACATTTTGAGAAAAGTCTTTATTTTCAGATACTAAATCAAGCCTTTAAGAAAACAAGTCATTATTCCAACATAGTAATTCATTATTTTGAGATACTAGGTCAAAATCCTGGGATACTAAGTGACAGTTTTGAGATAGTAAGTCGTTAATTTGAGATGCTAAGTCAATAATTTCAGAAAACAAGTCATTACTTCATGTTGCTGCCATCAGAATTTTACATAGAGAAGGCTGTTTTTTTCCTCTTCTTCCTGGCAGGAATGGACATCCATAGTAAGGACTTGTTAATGAGCATATGATTTTCGTACAAGCCAGGAAAACCCTAAAATGTGCAGAGTAGAATGCCTCCAGGACCAGAGCTGGGAAACACTGAGTCAGACCATTAAAAATTATATATGCTGCATCTAAATCTTCTGAAATGTCTCAAGAGAATATGTCTCGGATGGCAGGTCGCTGGTTCCATGGCGCTAACTGAACTGATAAACTGGTTTGTTCAGCTAGAGTCTGATACTGATACTCATGAGTGACACTAATCACGCATTACCTGAACTCACCATTCGGGTGTATTTTGAGTGCAACCGTGAAGGTTTGCTTCTGTGCTTCTGCATATGTACCAGGAAGCTGATGTGTTTTCTCTTAATACCACTTGTAAATAAGGATTGTAAATTAAGTTATTGCGCCAAACATGTATATACAACGAGCAAACGCATGATGTGCTTTCCATTCCCTTCACCCCACCAAAGAGAGGACTGCTACATCTCCCAGTTGTTGCTAGACTGTTGTTAAGCATTTCTTATAGTCGACTCTGTAGTGACTTAAGGAACTGTACACACTATTTCCATGTCCATATACCAGATGTAACTTTTTTGCTTTAAAAGGTACAACACAAATAAAAAGACTATTACAATCTGTCCTCTTTGTGTTTTTTTTAATTGTTCACTCAGTTCAGATACTGCATGTTTTATCAAAATGTCTGATAGTAAACAAAGCTAATAGTCAGAGCAGAGCTAGAGCAGAATGCAGTCATTTGTAGTCAGCACGATGATTAAAATATTAGCTTCAGCACAGGACCAGTACTTTGATTTGCCGAATAATTTGAACCAATTTTTCATGAAGAATTTTTTGTATTCCAGAACGACCCTAGGGGTGATACTGGGCTGCAGTGCTGTACATTCTGTTATACTAGTGCAAGTAGATCTAGTTCCAGATTTTCTGTATTGGCAACAGATGCCCTATACAGCCAAAAGTATGTGGACACTCCTCCTAATCATGGAGTTCTGGTGTTTCAGCCACAGCCATTGCTTAAAGGTGCATAAAATCAAGCACGTAGCCCTTCAGTCTCCATAGACAAACACTGGCAGCAGAACGGGTCGTATAGAAGATCACACTGACTTTAAACTTGGCACTGTCATAGATTGCCACCTCTGCCACAAGTCAGTTTAGTCCTGCTAGATCTGCCCCGGTCAACTGTAAGTGCTATTATTATGAAGTAGAAGTATCCAAGTGCAACAACAGCTCTGCCACAAAGCAGTAGACCACACAAACTCGCAGACTGGTGCTGACAACCACTGAAGCACACAGCACATAAAAATCATCTATCGTCTTTTGCCTCACTCAATACAGAGCAGCTGCTCACAAACCTAAGATCACTATGTGCAATGCTAAGTGTCAACTGGAGTGGTGTAAAGCATGCTGCCACTGAACTCTGGAGACACGTTCTCTGGAGTGATGAATCAAGCTGTACTATCTGGCAGTCTGAGGGACGAATTTGAGTTTGGCGGATGCCAGGAGAACATTACCTACCAGAATGCATAGTACGAACAGTAAAGTTTGGTGGAGGAGGGATAATGGTCTGGGGATGGTTTTTCAGGGTTGGACCCCTTGGTTCCAGTGTATGGTAATGTTAATGCTACAGCATATGAAGACAATTTAGACAATGATATGCTTCCAACTTCATAGCAGCAGTTTGGGGATGCAGTTTGACTCTTTTTCGTTCCAGCATCACTGAGCCCCTGTGAGGTCCATAAAGACATGGTTTAATGAGTTCCTTGTGGAGGAACTCCAGTGGCCTGCATAGCGCCCTGACCTCAGCCCCACTGAACACCTTTTGGGTGAATGGGAAAGTCAATTGTGAGCCAGGCCTTCTCATCCATAATCAGTGCCTGACCTCACAAATGCTTTTTTGACTGAATGGGCACAAATTCCTACAGACACACTCCAAAATCCTGGAAATAATGCACAGAAGAGTCAAGGCCATTATAGCCATAAAGGTGGAGGAGGCATCTCCATATAAATGCCCATGGTTTTGGAATGGGATGTCCAACAAGCTCTTGTAGGTGTGATGATCAGGGGTCCATATTCTGTATGTATATATGTATGTGCATAAAAATAGCACAGAAATTGGTTTTGTCCCAGAATTCTCATATAAACACATCCCTAAGGTCCAGTGTAGAAGAGAGTGGAGCTGTCATTACATTTAGTTAAAGCTGATGTATCAATCATCCTGAAAGATCTCAGTTCTCAGCTGCCAGCCTGCAGGATCTACTACTGAATATTACTAATGTGACTAAATACGTGTCGGCACTGTTGCATCTCCAGCTTGTTAAGCAGATAGCCTCATTAACATGTGACCCATAATTGTTTAAACTCAAAATGTTTTTTTTTTCCCTTCAGACTGTTAAGAAATAACAGTACTGAACGTGCCAGATGGTTCTAGCTCACCCTACTGCACTAAGAAGATTAAATTTTACCATCGGTTTTTTCCATCAGTGTCACCCCCAGACACAATAAAGCACAAATAACACACAACACACCCTTTATCTAATAAAGGATGACATAAACCAACTTTTCTGTCCCCTTTTACGGGGAGCGTGCACCTCCTATGGGCCTCTTCACACAGCCCTCAGCATGGCCTCAAATGACAATATAATTGTCAATACAATATATGACAATATGTAACATAAGAGTTACTTTCTTTCATTTTTTTTTTACTTTATTGATGTAATGCAAATGGCTACACTCAGTGGTTGTTTTCTGCAACTGCCAGTATAAAAAACAAATCAATTTATGCATAAATTACTCATAAATAAATAAATTGCTTATTAATTTTTAACCTTTAATTAAAACAAAATGAATGCAAAAATATATACATAAATAAACAAAGGGCATAAAATCTGACAAACAATAAATTCTGTATTTATCATTATTTCATGTATATATAATTTATTTCCCCTCGCTACCATTACTTTTTCATTTTTTCCATTGTTTACATTTAGCTATAAATACACAAATTAATGAGCTAGGATTACATGATACAGAAAACAATTTAAAATTCACAAACAAACCAAAAGAAATCTTACATATCCAATTCAGTTTTGTAAATATTTTTATTTAGCAAATGTTTAATTTATTTTTATGTTTAGACATTTTATTTATTCGATTTTTCTCGTGGCCTTCGTTGTTTTCATACTGTAAAATGAGAAAATGTAATAAACTGTAAAACCGCTTTGACTGTTTATATTATGGGGAAATGCAATGCGGGGATTTTTTCCCATGGTACTGGCAACCCCGCTCTGTCCGCTTCCTCGCGATGTTTTGCGAGAGTTCCGAGTTCACAGCTCCATGTGGATATTTTCATGGCCAGAAGAGAAGCGGCTGAAACTCAGAGAGACGCTGCTTTAACATCACTCCAGCGTTTAAAGCTCGCCCGTTTACGCGGTGTCGCTGAACGCGGTCCATATGGTGTTTATAAGAGAGTAGCGATAGTTCAGTCAGGCAGGCGCTGAGCAGGACATGCTGAGGTTTCCTCCTCAGCTGCTTCCAGTCTTAAACAGTCAGTGCTTTAAATCAGCTCGAGCAGCCAAAGGTGAGTCTGAACTGCTGCTTTCAACGTGAAGGGCCACTGAATAGTCTGATCTTTCTACGAGGATAACGTTGGTCTCCTGTTCCTCAGCTTCTTCTTCGATTTTCCCCGTTCCACCTTAAATGATGCAGCAGTTCCGTTTAACTATTTCTTGTGTTACATGTTAACTGCTGCACCATTTAAGGTGGAACGGGGAAATCCGAACAGAAAGCTGACTTCAGGTCTGTTTCTTCTTTCTTGCTGTGCTCATGAAGGTCGTTGTCAGTTAGAAAGGCTCCGTGGCCTCTTTGTGAGGAGCAGAATGATGGCAGAGGAGCAGAAACCCCCTCAGATCACTGTGCTGAAAAGAGCATCAGACAGCTCTGCTGTGGAGAACGATCACCAGGTCAAGAAGCTGAAAGCAGATGACGACCAGACAGCTGATGAGAAGAGATTTCCCAAGAGGAAGGTGGTCCTTCTCATGGCGTATTCAGGCAAAGGCTATTATGGAATGCAGGTAAGTGGTGAAAGGTGAAAGTGACAGGATTGGTTTTCCTGTTTGTTTGCTTGCTTAATGTGAATCCTCCTGTTCCTTTTAGAGAAATCCTGGAAATTCCCAGTTTAAAACCATAGAAGATGAACTTGTCACTGCGCTTATCAAAGCTGGGTGTATTCCAGAGAACCATGGAGAGGATATGAAAAAGATGTCTTTTCAAAGATGTGCAAGGACCGACAAGGTGAGGATTTGAAATAACACTTTCTTCACCCAGGCAGTCGCTGTTCGTATGTCTAGAAATGGCACCATTCCCCTTTTTACTGATGCTGATATTAAAATCTTGAATATTGATCTGATATGGATATAGGAATGGGATTAATTGGATGGGATTAATATTACATGGGGTCCTAGGTAATTTCCTCTTTTACAGGTGCTACTCTGTGATTTTATTTCCATACAAGCAGCAATGTCTGAGTTTTTCTCCCTCCTCCCCTGTAAAAATTGTAGCTACTTTTCACCAAACTCATCATTTTAGCCAGATGTCACCTTGAGTTAGAAAAAAAAGTTTTTTTTTGAGTGCTGCTACTCGCCATAGGCAGTCTCCCAGCCTGTATATTCACATTAAACACACATCAAAAAATTATGGATGCTTTGGAAGAGTCTCAACCACTTACTTAGCCTGGGTGCTAGAACTTTGCCTCTACCCTCTCTACGCTGGAAAAACATTAGCAGGTGGAGAAAGACAATAAAGTCGATTAGAAAAATGAGGTCCCTCAGGCTGATGAAAGGGACAAAATGCATTCTCTCTGTGTTCTTTGATTGTATGATCATGTGTGATGCAAACATCCAGATTTATAGAAAATACAACCCACTGGAAACTCATTTATCCTGCAGTATTGTTGTTGCCATCTGAATATGAGAGTTTTATCACGAGGAGATGTGTAAAAAATCATTACAGACTTGCTCCTGACAAACTCTGTTTGGGCTGAATTAGTTTATCATGTTCAAACTACTCGTATACTCTACTGCCCCACAGGAAGAAATACACAGCTAGCATTACATCATTCACTGTCTGATATCGATACACTTACACTACAATATCTCATCTTTAGGTCTTATAAATTGTTTACTGTATGCCTAGAAGTAGCCAATATGCTTAAGGTGCACCCACTGTGGTGTTCAATTGTGCACACATAGCTTATATGGTATAATCTCTATAGAAGAGCATTGGCAATAGAATGGGATGGTCTGGAGCTGCTGCACATGAGCATGAGGTCACCGTGCCTAGTGCCAAGCATGGGCTAGACAGATATAAAGCTCCTCAGTATTGGGCTGCGGAGCAGTGGAATTGGGCTGGAGCAGCACTGAATACCTTTGAAATGAGTTTGTGATATAGAACTCAGCATCCAACATTATCAGGGTCTAACCTTACTAATATTCTTGTGGATAAATGCAATCAAATCATCATAGCAATGTTCCATAAATCCTTCTCAGAAGGGTAGTGGCCGTTACTGCATCAAACTTGTTGGGGGGGTGTAACTGCCTATTAGTACCCTTATTTTCAGAAGAAATGTTAGTCTGTGTCTACACACATTTAAACATACAGTGTTTACTTTTTGCAGGGTGTTTCTGCAGCAGGCCAGGTTGTATCTCTAAAGCTGTGGCTGATTGAAGACATTCTGGAAAAGATAAACACCCATCTCCCAGCACAGATAAGAGTTTTAGGTAACACCATAAAGCATTGTCTCTGTTTTTTGATCTTTGTGTGCCAAGATTACTAGACAGATGTTCTCATCATCTGGCAGGTTATAAGAGAGTCACGGGTGGCTTCAACTCCAAAAACAACTGTGACGCCAGGACCTATTCCTATACACTTCCGACCGTGGCCTTCTCTCCAAAAGACAGTGACCAAGAGGACACGTCATTCCGCCTGGATACAGAAACGCTTCAGAAGGTTAACAGGCTGTTTGCCCTCTACAAAGGCACCCACAACTTCCACAACTTTACCTCACAGAAGGGTCCCCGGGACCCAAGTGCCAAACGCTACATCACCCACATGTCCTGCGGGGAGCCCTTCGTCAGGCAAGGAGCCGAGTTTGCGGTCATTACGGTGAGAGGGCAGAGCTTCATGATGCACCAGATCCGGAAGATGATTGGGCTGGTGATCGCAGTGGTGAAGGGCTATGCAAGAGATGAGGTCATTGAGAGAAGTTTGGGAGAAGAGAAGGTCGATGTGCCAAAAGCTCCTGGGCTCGGTCTAGTGCTGGAGAGGGTGCACTTTGACCGGTACAACAAGCGTTTCGGGGGAGATGGTCTTCACGAGACACTTGAGTGGACCCAAGAGGAAGATGCTATTGCTGCCTTTAAGGAAGCGCACATATACCCCAGTATAGTGGAAACTGAGGGCCAGGAGAAATCTATGGTTAGCTGGATGGCAACACTGCCCATTCATGACTTCGAGGCTACTGCAACAGGCAAACAGGAACACAAGGTGAGTAAACATGCAGATTTTTTCTATGTTTATTCCTTAGTCATATTTTTTGTTTAACAGCACTATTTTAAAAACACAAAAATGGGCAAATATGATTGCAGCAAACCTGCAGCTATCATTAAGTATAGTAGTCCAAAGTGATCTGAATAATTAAAATGCAATATGTGTTGTATTCCACTACAGAGAAATGTGATGCAACATTTCTTTTAATTCTTTAATTTTTTTTTTCAGGATGAAGATGGAAATACATCTGACTGACTTATTAGAATTTTCTTCCTAAACTTGTTTTATTTTTGCTGTGTAAATGATTTAGTTCCACTGTTTGCCATGTTCATCTTTTGAAATAAACTTTTTATTTTGACTTTTATTTCGACTTTTTGGTTTTGAATATTTGATGAAAGAGTAATGCATTAGACGTTATTACACTTTAGATTATGCAAAGTTATATATACCTACACTCAAAGATGGTTCTTCAAAGGTTCTTTAGTAAAGTGGGTTGGTTATAACTATGGTTAGAACTATTTCCTGCCTACATGGTTCCTTGCATGCTGAAATGTTTCTTCAGATGAATGGAGAACGTGTTTTATATGGTCCTTTTTCAAAGTGGTTCTATATAGCACCAAAAGGGTTCTGCTACTCTTACAATGCCAAGTGTAGTAACAGTAGAAGATCCCTTTTTGGTGCTATATAGACCCAACCATTTTACCATGTGAGGGACCATTTAAGCATGAAATGGTTCTATATAGAAATCATGGTTCTAAATGGAGCCATTGCCTTACTAAGGAGCCTTGAAGAACCATCTTTTTTAAGTGTGTAGCTTAAAAACTTAAGTAGTTTCTGGAAAAAGGGCTGAAAGAATAGAAGCTGACTTGCTTTGTGAATTCTATGAAATCTTATATTATCTTACTAATATATCTTATTTAAGCATTAAAAATCCTTAGTACTATGCTGATGTCTCGGTAGCTAGCTAGCTAAATTGATGATGCCCTAAATGTAACTAAAGACCTATTAACTAAATATATATTTATAACTATATATATATTTCTTTGGTTTGTAGCTTTAATTAAAAAAAAGCTGTTGAGGTAATACTGACCGTTTCTCAGCCCTCAAAAAATGTGCCTGCATTTCTGATGTAAGCAGTTTGTATCACTTTATTTCTCTGTATTTTGCAGAATAGTAAATGGTGCTTTTGTTATTTTGTCTTTTTGCTATTTTACATTAACAAATTGTGCTACAACAGATTTGCCAAGTTGCGCCACACTGTCCACAGGCGGTCTACAGACAGTTTTACGAAGAGAAAGTGTTTTCTATTTTCAGTCAAACGGACCAAAGTCGGTAAATACGGACGTTGGTGCCGCCTCCGTGTAGGAGCGGTGGTTGTGACCGTGTGTGGTTTTCGGTGCCAGGTTGAGAAAACGGTTCGTGAGGCTGTTACAAACTCAAAAAGCGAGCTTAAATCTCACGGTGTGTCTGTCTTAAATCACTCAATCAATCCTCCCATCACATGGGGGCGCTGTTGTCCGGGCTAATCAGTAGCTCGTGCATCTTTTCTCTCCAGCGCTGGTAAACATGGCGCCGTCCAGAGAGAACAGCGTGAAAAAGAGCGAGGCAGAAAACAGCAAAACCTCATCCAAAAACCTGATAAACACCAAAACAGAGCTCATACTGCAGAGCAGGAGACATGCTAACGATGTATTCGACGTTCTGGAGCACCTTCAGGTGAGAGTGTAGCAGCAGAGGACTGTAGGAAAGAAGCTGAAGTCTTCTTCTTCTTCGACAGCTTCTTCAGTTTTTCCCGTTCCACCGTAAATTAATGTAACTGCTGCACCATTTAAGGTGGAACGGGAAAATTCGAACAAGAAGCTGGCGAATAGGAAGCCAACTTCAGCCTCGTAGGAAAAGCTTTAAAGAGCCCAACCAGAGCCCAGCTGACTTAAGGGCCATGTGACCATCATAACTGCCTTGTTTGTTGTTTTTTATTGTTATTGGAGGATAAACTGTTGATAAAAGGTTAAAGAGTTGGTCTCATTTTCAGTCTGAAAAAGAGAAAGAAGTCATTTTTGCCATCAACGCCTGTCAGAAGATCTTTTGTGCTTTGCTGGAGAGAGGAGACCTGTATGTTGGTCAGCTGCCCAGCGAAGAAGAAGTAGTGGAAGGTAAGAGTTAGTAAGCTGTTCTCTAAGACGTTTAGACATGCAGCTTTCACCTGTGTGGTGATGGGGTCCAACTGGATCCATTATTGTTGACAATTTAGGAAAGTCTTTCTGTGTTCACGTGGGTGCTTTACAATACCATATTTTAGCACTGCTTGTAAAAACACGCAGGTTCTTCACAGAACAAGCAAGGAACAGCTTATGCGCCTTGCTGCTTCTCTAAAGAACCAGAGTGTTTTATAAGCAGTGTGAAATTTTGGTCTTGTGTAGCATCCACACTGCCACAGAGAGGTTGGGACAATAGGTCAAATACAAATAAAAGCAAAAAAAAAAAGATTAATAAATCTAGTTTGATGTGTAATTTAATGAAAACAGTAGAAAACACAAGATATGTAGTGTTTTATCTCATCAACTTTGCTTTTTTTTTGTAAATTTACATTCATTCTGATATTGATACCTGCAGCACATTCCAAAAAAGTCAGGACAGGGTCAGTGTAAGACTAAGAACACTAAGATATTTAAATGACATCTTAAACAGGTGATGCAGTCATGCTTGGGTATAAAAGGAGCATCTAGAAAGGCCTGGTCCTTCATGAGCAAGGATGGGTCGAGGCTCTCAGCTGTTGACAAAAATGCATCAAAAAATATCATTTAAGTCATTTAATTATTCAGAAATTTTGAAAAAGTTATCTTTAAAGACTGAGGAATATATGGAACAGTATCATTTAGCACTCCTCAGAAAGACTGTATACAAAATACTTTGAAAAAGTAGTGATGGCTGAATACACTGTCTGAGATGTATTCAGTAATGTATTCTGTTACAATACACAAAAAGTAACATTCAGGATTATGTTTCATAAAAAAAAAAAAAATTATTCAAATGAAAACCAACATGAATACAAAATTCTCCACATTATTTTGACTCTTATCGTCAGGAAAAATCATGCTTCCTTGCTGCTCCCATAATCCCACTACCCTTTCATGATCTAATCTTAAAATTTGCCATATCCTGATAACAAAACCTCACAAATTTGACTACGAAGTGAGTAGTTTTATGATTTTGATGTAATGGCATGTGTGGAATTCTCCACGGAACACATGCAAAGGTCCTGTACAGTACCAAAGATTATTACTTGTGAACGTGTCCACTACTCAAAACATTTTACTAAAACGCAGATTAATAACTGATCATCACAGCCTTCAGTGTTTGAAAAGAAGAGACTTTCTGAGTTTCTCTTTTGAGTAGGTCTTTACAAGCTTTGTGGTGATTTTTAAAATGACTTAACATGCAGTGATGGTGTTTCTTTGCAAAATGGGATATAAATTTACATTTATGGGTAAGTATTCTAAAGATATTCTCTTAAAAATGTAAAAAGTAACTGCATTCTGAATACTACCTTTACAAAATGTAACTTAGACTGAATACAGATTGTTAATTTCTGTTTTCTGAATATGTATTCCCCACATGTGTATTCCATTACATCTCATCCCTGGTATCAAATCTATGCAGTAATAGTTACTGTAAGTTAGACCCAACCCTGACTGTATAGCCCTATAGCACTATATCCAGTAAAATGTAAAGTGTACTAATTTGCTGAGCTCTCTGACAGTAAATCTTTTGAGCAGTCATGGTGGTTTTTGGCTTTAAAGCATGATGCATCGAGACACAGTACATTGGTATTTTTAACTTGGTGTACTTTGTTTGGTAAGAATACATACGTATCATTATTGATTGGCTGTTTCAAACTCTGCTTTAAAAGGGAATGAACTATTTACACATGGTAGACAAGGCTGTGTGTTTACAGTTGTTAGAAGCTTTCCTCGAGCGGTAATACTTTATACCCAGATATCAGACATTTTGGAAATCATTTTGTCCTGCCAGGTGATCGCGATGCAGATGAAAAGTATCACATATTTATAAGGCACCGTTACAACAACTGTGTGGAGCTGCTGCTGGATAACATTGGCCATGAAGCGTTCCAAGTGAAGGTGAATGAACTGAGCTGCAGTGATGAGCATATACACACACGCATACATATATATTCATATATATACAGCATAATAAGTAACGGTACAGTGTAAGAGTATGTCAAGCTAGATATACTCTTGCTAGATAGATATACTAGGTTTATTCTTACATTGCGCTTTTACTTAGTTTGCTGTGTAGACTTTGTTCTCCATAGACACTGTCTTATATATCTTTGATTTCAAGATAAACATTCTGTTGGTTTCACTGTAGGAGGCAGCTCTTCTTGCCCTAATGAAATTTGCCGCAGCTGAGGGGCAGCACCCTCTGCAGAAGCTGGAATTGAGCAACCACTACAACTTCCCTTTAGAGCTTATTTTGGTGAGTCCTCTGAAGGACAGCAAAACAAGGCGATTCCATGTATGGTGTGCATATGGAGTTGTATGTGTGGGCTAGTTCTGAATATTAAATTGTGTCTTTATCTGCAGGCAGTTGTGCGGTGTCTGCTCTCTGAGACGGAGGACATGGCTCTACTCATCTCCAGGTTCCAGGAGTTCCTAGAAATGGATGATGTGCGCTACTATGTCATGAGCTCCATCCGTGACACCGTAACCAGAGTCATGGACAGAAACAAGCGGGTATGTTCATGAAAGTGGATGGAGGTTTATAAATATTTTTGTTTCTTAGAGAAGCCTGTGATGGTTTATGTGGATGGATTAGACCAGAGATCACCAGTTCTGGTTGTGGAGGGCCGGAGTCCAAAGCAGTTTGAGATGGACTGATAGGTTTGAACTCCTTTTTCATATTTTTGTTATTTAAATCATGATGGTATTTTGCTTACCGATTCACCAGTTCTGCACGTACTGTTGTGATAAGGTTAAACGAGGTGCCTCATGTTGGGTTCCCCGACAGGACAACTGTCTGATGATTTGCCGTTTCGTCAGATGATTGCAAGATAGATTCTTGGTGATACTGTGACTGAAAAAAGGCTGTAATTATCAGCAAAATTTATGTTGATGCCGATACAATGTGTTGTCATTATTGGCCGTCTGATATATTTGCTGGGATCTAATTACCAGGCTTAGTTGGGGTATCACAGCAGAGTAGTCATCAAAGTGTGCAGGACTCTGGCCCTCCAGGACTGGAGATGATCACCCCTTGTTTAAGTATCTCCACCTCGTCACATTTATTTTATATGGCTTCTAGACCAATACTGCTTTGCTCTTTGATAGGCTGTGATGCCCGTATTCCAGAACAATGTTTTCACGCTGCTCACGAACATCACTATACCAAGCCAGAGTGCAGAGATCAACAACTTCCTCATCAAGCAAGAAGGTAAGTCCCCACTTTTGTGAAGCTCTAATACTTTACAGAATTGTGACTTCCTTCTGACCAGTGCCTTTCTCATTGTAAACACCATCTATATTAGGTAAATATGAGGACTGGAAAGCAGCCAAATTGAAAGTAAGTGGAAGCTCTTAAAACTGACATTGTTAACTGTATTGGTTTGAAGACAAAAAGTGAAATAACTGGCTTTCGTCTATTTCCACTCCATCATGAAGGAGCAGAAGCGAGCATTTGAGCAGACGTGGCTGATATTTCTGAAGTACAAGGTACAGTAAAAGTAACATAGCTCATTGTTACATCAGAATCCTGGCTGCTAAGGTTTGAGGACGAATGCTCTTAACTAGGCTTTATGCTTTCCTGCAGTTGCCTGGTAACATGTATAAAAAGGTGCTAGTCATCCTGCACGACTCTATTCTGCCCCATATGAACGACCCCACATTGATGATTGACTTTCTGAGTGCAGCGTACAGTGTTGGTGAGTCCATAGTGCTAGCAAGGCCCTAGTCGTTTCATTAAAGAATACCATGGTACCATGTGAAAGCCTTATCTAAATAAATAAAGATTTAATGTGTGTTTGATTCTCTGTTAGTACTGTGTTAGTACTGTAATAGGCCTCTTTTTCTGGATAATGTAAAAGCCTTACTGCGGTGTCTGTGTTGGACATTAGGTGGAGCGGTCAGTTTGCTGGCTCTGAATGGGCTGTTTGTCCTCATCCATGAGCACAATCTGTGAGTACTTAACGCAGACAAAGTGAACATTGATTTTACAATCTCTGCTCTGAATTTGTTTTTAAATTATTTTATTACTTTGATAATTTTATTCCTCTAAAACAGAGATTATCCTGATTTTTATAAGAAGTTATACAACCTACTGGACCCTTCAGTGTTCCATGTTAAGTACAGAGCACGGTTCTTTCATCTGGCCAACATCTTCCTCTCCTCAAGGTAAATCTGCTCGTTCAACCACTTCAAAGAGACTGACTGCAGTTAATTGTATTACACTTGATCTAATAACAGCTGCATGATCACTGTTTGCCCTGAAATACTTTTTGTCTGGCCTTTTGTCTACAGTCATCTACCTGTCTACCTTGTGGCAGCGTTTGTCAAGCGACTGTCACGTCTGGCCCTGACCGCACCTCCGACTGGTCTGCTCATAGTACTGCCCTTTATTTACAACCTCATTCGCAGACACCCCTCTTGCAGAGTGCTCATCCACAGACCCAGTGCAGCTGATGGTATGGCACTAAAGTCACTGCTCTATGTACCTAACTATGGCACACAGTCAGAATAAATGGCAGGATGCTAGTTTTGCTTGACCTAGCAATTAGTGAAAAAAGTGAAAGTTAAGCTGAAGGTGTCGAGTTTTGAGAATGAATATCTTTGTGGTTTGTTTCTTAGAGCTCTGTAATGACCCATACGTGATGGATGAGGAGGACCCTGCCAAGTGTCATGCTCTAGAGAGCAGTGTATGGGAACTTAAGGTGAATTTAATTTGAAATGTATACAGTCCTGTTTTTGACTGTCTCCTATTTTCCTGTGCTCATCTGTCATTTTCGGTCTGTTTATGTATGGAGAGAAAAACAAAGAAAAGAAAAACAAACTGGTCTTTATCTTGTGTAAATGATTTTGTTTGAGGAAATATTTTTTTAACTGGTGAAGGCAGAAGGCAGGCAGATAGCTAGCATCAGTGCTGACTGTCTTATTGCAGCCATAAAGCTGTATTCCCTTTCTTTAAATCGTCAATACAATGGAAAGAAACGATTACATAACTTGCCAGATGAAGAGAACAACAAGCCAAAAGTAAAGATTATATCGCAGTTTTCTTTGCGGATTTGTTTAACAGCCAACGTGAGTTACAGTAACGCTAGCTTAATTGTTATTCTTAAGTGTTGTCCTGGCGACTATATGGATAGTGTTTCTCCAGAATACCCTGTCTTCTGCTTGGGTCGTCAGGCTTCTGAATGGCTGGTTCATGATTCCTCTAATTGAATCTATCCATCTTGTAGCTGATCATCCTTTTCCTCTTTTACCTTCAACTCTTCCAAGCATTATCGTCTTTTCCAACTAGTTGGTTCTTCCCAGAATGTGTCCAAAATAAGATAGCTTCAGTTTGGGTATCTGGGCTTCAAGTGAGAGGTGAGGCTTAATTTTAACCATTTCCACAAGGCTTAATTATAACCATTTCCACAACTTCTCCATCAGTGGTAAAGTTAGCGATCTTCCCTGTTGTCACAACCATAGTCTTCTTCATATTGAGTTGTAGTCCCATCTTTTCACTCTGGTCTTTAACCTTCCTTGTAAAGACCTTCAGGTCTTCCTGTGATGTATCATCTGCATACATGTGAAAGCTTTCTTGGTTGTGTTTGTTAGCCTATAGATCATAGCTAGGCTATCTCAGGATTGATTGACCCCACAGTGACTAAGATTCGCATAATGCATGCTGGTTATTATAGTGAGAGAACCTTGTTAAAGGAAAACATGAAAACGATATTGAATCCTCAGTTTTGTCAAGCTGATGAGGCTGAGGGATACAACACTGCACTGCATAATATTGTACAAAATACTGCACAACAGGAGAAATAACATACTAAACCATGTTATTTTAGGCTGGAATACCTCTTTAACTTGGTTGATCTGACAGCAGGTATATTGTTTTTGGTTACTGAATGTGAATACAGATGTGGATACAAGCTAAAGATCCAGTTCACACTGGTGGGGGAAAAATTCTTCCTAAGGAAAGGAGCTTTATTCATCCTTAACTTCATTTCCTCTTTTAGACCCTACAGAGTCATTACCATCCAGATGTGGCCAAGGCAGCCAAAGCGATAAACCAGCCTTTACCAGTGATGGAGGTTGATATCAGCGAGCTGCTAGAGTTAACCACATTCGAGGTGTGTATGAGAATGAATTGATGGTACATGGAGTAGTGACCTCAATACACCAAAAACAGTAAACTAATCTAATATCGCATCAAATAATGTCTTTGTTTGTACAGCTGATGGAGCGAGACCTGAAGAGCCAAAGTCATTCGGTGCCACTTGAGTTTGACCCAGCCAGTGGCCTGCTTAAGAGTGCCAAAGAGGTGCTGGGTGTGCACTTCTCTCTGGAGTAGTCACCATGCCTGCAATGCCTCATTTGCTCTCTGTTTGACTCTGTTTATCTTATTGTAATATTATTTTCTTTTGGCTAATGTTTCAGCTTGTTTTGTACATGAACATGTGAATAAATCACTATTTGGGAACATGTGTTTACTGAATAATGAGATGATCTGTACAGTCTGGATATCTTCTTGTTCAGGTCATTTTGCATAAACACAGTCAAATTGTGAGAACAATAATATGCTTTACTGCATCAGTGATTTTCCCAGCTTGTCCTCAATTTATGTCCGCTTGGTAGAATCGGATGTAAATTGACCATCTGCTCAGAAAAGATTTCCCACTCTGCTAGAGTAGGACTGCAGCTCTAACAGGTGTTCAGCTGTTGGACTACTCTCACTTAAAAGAACAGTATAAAGTAAGCCTTCAGACTGAACATCCTGGCTAACTATATATTTTACTGACTTGCTGCTGAAGACTTCATAATGTCTCCCAGCTCTGTCTGATAGCGGAGCTGAGACAGTTCCTCCAATGGGGAGGACTGTGTTTTAGACAGAAAAAACATAAACAAGCAAGATTTGTGAGACTTGAGAAATTAAGGATCAGTTTCCTGGATAGGGATTAAACCTAGTCCTGGATTACACAGCATTCTGAATGGAGATTCTATACTGAAAGGAAAATATGGTCCAGAATAAGGCTTAATCTCTATTGGATACCCAACTTAATCTGTTATGTTCGTAATTTTATCAACATAAACTTCACATATAGATGTAAGGCAAGCTGATTTTATTATTATTATTATTATTATTATTATTATTTTTACTTGTAAAACTGAATTGGCTCATTTTAAAATATAATTGCTACTAATAAACATCATTTTTCCAACTCAATTAGAAAAAAACATTTACTACTAGTGAGAACTGACGTTTTATAGCTTGCATAATTCCTACTGGATTTCATGTTACAAATAAACAGAATTTCTGATATTAAATATTGTGGAATAAAAGCTAAATATTGGAGTATATGTATGAAACTTCTGAGCCTCCTTAAGCCTAGTGACTAAATTGCCATACCAATGATGAATCAACATTGAAAACTATTTGTAGACTAGGCTTGGGCTGAAAGACCTCATAACATGGAAAACCACCCATTCAGTCTACAGCAGTTTAGCCCTGCCCATTCACACTAAAGCTATGGGAAGTGTTTCAGTCTGGACTGCTTCTCTGAATGGGATTTGATACAGAGCACCCATTTACACATGTTGGTTTTACAGGCAGGGTAACAAAATCAGACTGTGCAATACTAAAGGATAGATGTTGGTCATGAATTACATCTGGTTTTGGTGTATAAAACCACACAGATGTAATGTGTGAACCTCAGACGGGAAAAAGTAAATAAAACATCGGCCCTTTAAGAAAGCTAGATGATCTCCGCTCCGGCAGGTGGCGCTAATGAGACACCGGCGTCCCAACCACTGCCTGATGACACGAGGGACAGTGTGAGAGCAGCGTATAAGGCTGTTTTATTTATTTGAGAGCTGTAGTTATTGTAGTTACTGTAGTTTGTTCTTCAGAATGGCTGCTGAGCGACTCTCCAAAATCCCTGAAGCTGATATTGACCCGAACGGCGTGTTTAAATACGTCCTCATACGAGTTCACAGCAAAGAAGACGAGTCGTATGTTGACATAGTGCGAGGCTACAGCTGGGCGGAGTATCACGGTATTTAACCGAACTTCACTACGTTTATTAATCAAATAGCGCTGAATTTTAACCACACGATCAGAATGATGAACAGGACTCGCAGCGTATGATCCATCTGACCACACTTCATCAGTTTAGTGACAAACTGCGTTAAACAGTCTTCATCAGATTATTGATCAGGTATCACTGATGAAGGTGCACGACACTGCATGTGTGCCTTGTCTTTTACTTACAGCCGAGTATCTGTTAAAAGGGGCATTCCACCGATTTTTTTTAAATTTCTCTATAATTCTGTTGTTAAAATGTAAACAAAGCGGTTTGATGTGAAATGGTTCATTGTAGAGAGACCTTGCAGAGTTGGACCTCTTTACAGTGGTGATGATAGGAACCTGGGGGTGTTTCGGAAGCAGGATTTATCAGTTTACTACGGAGCCCCGCTGGTGACATCCCGTACAAATAAAAATAATGCGTGGCCACGACTTAGTAAGGCGTGGGAATGAGATGATTAAGCCGTGGCCACGACTTAGTAAAGCGTGGGAACGAGATCCTAATGTGTGGCCACGACTTAGTAAGCCGTGATCTCGTTCCTACGCCCTACTAAGTCGTGGCCACGACCTAATCATCTCATTCCCATGCCTTACTAAGTCGTGGCCACGCATTAGGATCTCGTTCCCACGCCTTACTAAGTCGTAGCCACGCATTATTTTTATTTATACAGGATGTCACCAGCGGGGCTCCGTAGTTTACTGAGTTTACCCTGATATTTTAAGCCTAAAGTCAAGTCTGTCCAATAGGAAAAGAGCAGAGGGACATTCCTACTGGACAATGTTCAGCTTGGGCCTAAATTATCTGGCCAGCTCATAAATGCTGCTCTGTGAAATAAACAGTGTAGATAGATATGTTGATGTTTACTGTCCAAATCACACAGTGAATCTACATGTGTCTTCTGAGTTTTGGGGGGCAGTTTTATCTTGCAGTTCTCTGTGTGTGGCTCTCTGGCATGAATGAATTTAAAAAAAAAATCTGTCCTCAAAACTATCATGAAGCAGGGTTTCTGGAATCAGGTGTTCGTAACCATTTAATGTAATGACTTTCTGTGAGGGAGCTTTTAATATTGATTGCTTCAGACATCTGGTTCCCACAGCTGTGGACAATTCTGGCTCTGTAAGTTTCTCTAGAACGAAGCATTTCACACCAAACTACTCTGAATGACTTTTACATTTGATCTGTGAAAAATCAGTCGATGCCCCCCTGAACGTCTTAACCTTCCCCTAACCATCAACGTAACAAGCACAGTCTAACTCTGACCTTAACCTCAACCCAAAGCCTAATTCTAACCCTAACATTGTTGAGAATGAAAGTTGAGGTATATGGTCTGTAGACCATATGGTCTGTTAATAAATTGAGGATCTGTTGATAAACTCTCTAATGTCAGAACTAGAGCCCGACCAATAAATTGGCATGCCGATATCACTGGCTGATGTGAACTAATTGCAGATAAATCGGTATCTGTGTTTATAACAGCCGATAAATGTCAAAAAGGAAATATGGAAGTGGAAGACAAATCCATCAGCCATTATATGACTGTTGTCATTGCATAGCTTGGCCTTCAGAGGGCGCTCTGCAACTCCCCTGTTTGGAACGCCACAATCACAACAATCAGCTCACCAACAGAGTAGAGCAGAGTAACTTCATCCCACAACAAAAATAATCTGTGCGATACGTGTCACGTGAAATACATTGGCTACTTAAATAATAATAACAATAACCACATCACATCTCCTCTTAGCCTAAATAAGCCTGGCAATGTTCGTGTCAGCCAGCTGCAGAAGGCCAGTACTGTCAGGCAAATATCAAAAATAGCCTATGTCTGATGTTACTGTAGTTGAGTGGTGTAGGCTAAGCTGTTGATGAATCTTATTTATGAAACAGTGTGGTAGTTCTAGCGAGTAAACAGTCTATATTTTCTCCCTGACTTGTCGCTTCTATAAATTCTCTGGCACCATTGCTTACAGCAGCCCATAAATACCCATAAACCTAGCTAATGCTGTGTTCATCAGTGGAAACAACTGATGTTAATGAGGGGTTAAACCATAGCGTTTAACTTTTTCCGCCTGAATTACGAAGCTGAAGTCAGCTTCTTATACACCAGGTTCTTGTTCGAATTTTCCCGCCCACCTTCAGTGGTGCAGCCGTTACATTCTGGCGCCTCAGACTACATTCACTTTTCCAAAATGTACAGTAGCTGTGTCACTGTTTGTTTGAACTGTGAGGAATGAAGGAGATTTTACTGCACGTGAAGACAGTCAGCCTGTTTGTGCTCCATCTCGTGTGGAGCTGCGTCTCCAAAATCACCTGCGTTGCGGAGATCCGCGCTCTGAAGGAAAGTTTTAGCTCTTGAATTGAGGTGGAGAAACTCTCCGTTCTCCTTTTGCTATTTTAAAGTACACAAACTTCAGTTTGTACATTTCGTGAGAAGAACCTTTTCATTGATATTCCCGAAATTCCCCCAAAAACTCGTATCGTCTCCGACGAGTTTAGATTTATTATTAGAATTTTTTTTTGCATATTTTGCATTCTCGTGTCATTTTTTTCGTATTGCGTTCATGTGTAACAGCCTTAACATGACGTTCAGATGCTTCTAAAGATTCTATAAACAATGATATAACAAATGTCTATTTGTGTTCATAACACTGCTGTGTGAAATCCCAAAGTGCCTTATGTCAGATTATCTTGGTGAGGACTCGTAAACAATACATACAAATGTTGGGGAAAAATCTTTGTCTATGTTATGAAAAAAGAATATCTGGTGATATATCAGATATTTAAATCCTCAAATTTTGAAATCGATATTGGTCTTAATCCTAAGGGCTCTAATCAGAAGTAACATCAAGTGTAAGGCCAAGTTCCAGATAGCTTGTGGCGTTCTATTCATTATCTGTTTTATTTGTGTCTATTTTATCATATTTTATCATCACATTTATTATATTTGTACTGTCATATTTGTATCCTGCTCTGTTGGCTACTCTTCCTAACTGCATAACTTATTACATTCCTCTGTGTCCTCGTTAGCTGATATCTATGATAAGGTTTCTGGGGATCTGGAGAGAGCCGGTGATGTGGACTGTGAGTGTATAGGAGGTGGAAGGATCAAACATGACAGTGCAGAGAAAAAAATCCATGTCTATGGCTACTCCATGGTAAGTGACACTCCTAAACTGTCACTAGAATGCTGGGAATTCCAGTTTCTTACAGTCTGTAGTAGCTTTATTAATATATTGTGCCGCTAAAAGTAGATGATCTGCTGACTGAATTTTTCTCTGTTTTCAGGGCTTTGGGAGAGCAAATCACTCCGTTTCTACAGAAAAACTGAAGGCACAATATCCAGACTATGAGATTACTTGGGCAAATGAAGGCTACTGATTAGTTGACCAAGTCTTCTATCATTCTGGTCAGTCCAAGGACCTCCTGTCTTCTGCTGAGCTGTTCATACAGAAACAGAGCTGTTCTCAGCATAAGAAGGAGCAGAAAAGTACTCACTATGTCTAAAATCATCCACTTGCTGAATCATGGGGTGGATCTTCAGCAGCTTTAACTCATTGTACTGATTTTGTATGTTATTTAAACTCACTGTAAAGGTCAGTTCACCCAAAAAATACTTCATGTAATAACAAGCAATTGAACTAGTTTTATTCAGCTCAAAAAAAAAAAAACTTTGGTCGAAAAGAGTCATTCAAGTATTTACGTAGGTTGAATAAAACTAGTTAAATTACTTGTTACCACAAAGTAATTTTTTAGGTTGAATTGGCAAGATTTTTTTTTGTTTACAGTGTTCTTATCTGTAAGTTTGTTTACAACTAAACTGCCTATTTGTTTTGACAGTGAGCTTATGCACAACTTGAGAAGTCAAGTGGCATAATCTGAATAGGGATTTTCAGTGCATTGCACCATTGACATTGGAATATAGTCCAAACACTCTGATCTTATGTGTGTATGGGCAGTGAGTTTTCAGACTTTTCAACGTTTTCATAAGTCAGTCTCTGACATGTAAACACAGTTATTCAGAGAGGTTTGATGTGAAATGGTGCAGTAGAGAAAAATGTACTTTCTCAGATTTATTTACAGTGGTGGTGATAAGAGCCGAGGGTCATGGCAACACAAATATTGTCATTTTATTTACTGTACGAAATGACCAGTTTACCTACACGTCTTTAGAGCTCTCTTCAGACGTCTGGTTCCTATCACCACCACTGTGAACGAATCTGACTGTGTAGGTTTCTCTACAATGGAATATTTCACACCAGACCACTGAATGACTTTGTTTACATCTTAATGCTTTAATTATGCTGAAATCTTTCAGATAAATCCCCCTTAACACTCTTATTCTTTTCCGACTTTGAAAAACAAAGGAGGAAACTAATGCACTCGAGGTCAAGGCCACTGGCTAATACACATTGTCAATTAAACTAGTGCTGAAGCATGAATACATTACTTCCAAGAATTGTAAATGTTCTGAAGGTTGTAAACTCAAATGAGTTGCTGAATGAATTTGATGGTTTATGTCCGTTCTGTCAGCAGTTTCAGTAGGAAGTCTTATCACGTTCATCAGAACCATATTACATCTTAAAGTTAAGTTTGAATTACTAACAGTAGAAATTTAAATTTGCCTAGGAATTCAATACTTTAATACAGTTATTTCAATAGATGACCCATTCATAATTTGGATTTATTCTCAAAGTGCAACTTTGCAGTAGAATATATTTTGCATTTGCATCTTTTCAATAAAGATTTATTTTGCTTTCCTCATGACTGCGTCCTCCTGCCTCCCTCCAGCTCCAAATGCCTTCCCTCTACTTACCGAGAACATCTTGCCTTGGTAGCAATTTACATTGTTGCTATTGGTACTGATAGTTACAGAGTAAGTCACTGCACATTGCTCAGGTAGCGAAGGGTCATTGGTGTTTTTTAGTTGGAGATTTATAGCAGTTTTATAGCAGGAGAGCCAATGCAGCTGTGTGTGTAAGGGTATCAAGTCCAGGTGTTATCTGTGTGGAGAAGCTGGAAGAGCAGGTGAATGTGGCCTGCAGAGCACACACGCTGTCTACGAGATGAAGGGGGACTCCATTCAGCTACTGACTCTGCTGCTGGTGGTCCAACAAGGTGAGAGAGTTATTGTTCCGAGTGGGGTTCTTTAGCAATCTGTGTGTGCTTTTTAGGAAAAATATACCCATTTAGAGGACAAACATTATTTGTTGGATGTTTTTTTTAGGTAGTCTTATGTAATATTTAAGATAAAGGTATTTTCTAAGTGTCTGTCCCTTAGTTGAGTACAGATTGTTCCAGGACCCAGATTAGGCCATAAATAAGAAGGTTTTTCAGTGGGTAATCACTATTAGCATTGCAGTTTAGTCCAAGACTAGACTTAATTTCTCAATGGGAAACTAGCTTAAAGAGTTGACGGTACAAAATTTTCCTTAAGGCATTAATATTATTTTTATTAAGCTTTGAATGAGAGCTGACCTCTTACATACAAATCTTGCAATGTAGTGCTTTACTGTTGACCTTGTCTGTTTAAGCACCACTGATATCTGCTGTTCTTCTATCAGAGAACTTTGACTGGAGCTTTTTTTTTTAGTTGCGGGTAACTGTGATATGAACTTTGAAGCAGCCTGACTGGAAGCCTTTTGAAAGCCTAATAAGCTTCTTCCCCTGCAGAAACAAAGACTAGTCTTTCCCTAAAGCGTATTCAATAGAGAACGTTCAGTGGTTCTGAGTCATTACATAACTGTGGGCATGTTTAATGTCTGTAAGGTGTATCTTTGATGCATTTTTATCAGTATATAATTTTAATTCTTATTAGCTTAACACTTGTGTGGTGTTTGTGTCTGTGGGGCCCATTTTCAAGGTTTACCAAAAGAAAAAAATGATGATTTATTATTATTTCAACCTCAGATTTCTTGGCCTTTGCTTATTTTCTGTGAAGAACATATAAAATAACACATTTTCAGTGTCTTCACACTGTTCACCCCCAACACATTTATATTACACATGTGGTGTTGGGGTGAACCTGCGGGGAATAAAAGTGTGGAGGTGCTGTGTCCTTCACTCTGTTCTCCTCCTACATGGCCTCCTGTTAGTGTGTGTGTGTGTCTGTGTATGTGTTTGTAGATGTGTGCGTGTGTGGTGTGTGAGGGTGGACAACATGGACAGGCTGCTGACTGGCTGTAGCTGCTAAACAAGAACCATATGCTGACCGCTAGTGATATTTTAAACATCTGGTATTTTTACCATAATTTGTTATGGCTGTATTGATTTTAAAAACCAATAATGTGGTGGGTCAACTAGACCACTGAGTAACAAAAACATCAGCACCACACAAGGGATAATTTCATACAAAAATAAGATGATGTAAAATAACAATAAACGACAATCAAACAAATTAACATTTCTTTAAATCATTAAATTATTTTTGTAATTGTCTCAAATATAATGATAAGTACTCATTGTGAAATTTTGTGCAAAAAATTGTCAACTAATTGCGAATTACAACTATTTACAAATTACAGGCTTCCAAAATATTAACAGTGCCAACTATATCTCTCTGCACAGGTAACACAGAGGACTTTGAAGGAAATATGTTCTCTTTTTGCCTCTTCATCTGCTCTTCAACTTGTTTAAAAAAATGCATTAAAGATATATCTCATGGACATGAGTGCCCACAATATAGAAAGACCATGGTGTAATTTAGTCCCTCTTTCAAACCAAATATGTTTTTTAAGAAACGCTGTAGAACTGAAACTGCACAGCAAAATGAAGCAAGAACATGACCTAAAGTTATACAGCAATGTGCAACTGGAAAATGGGCCCTAAAAGTAATAAATGCAGATAAGACATGTTAAATCATCTTGGATATCTTAGATACAACAGAGTGATTAGTGGAAGACACAATGACTCTCAACTAATGATCTCACTGAGTGGCTGTGATTGCTTTGCAAAATGACTAACAGGACAGGAACATGAAAGAAACACTTTTCTAAAACACTTCTCATTCCTTAATGAAATACAGGAATGTTAATGTGTTTATGGAATATGTATACAGAGAGTGAGTTGTGATCTACATTTGAATATAATAATAATAATAGACTGGAAGTAGTTCTCAAAGCAGGATTTTCCAGTTAGCCTGACAGCTGAGGCCTAAAACCTGAGGCCCAAGGCTGCTAAATAGGTGAAAAGCTAAGGTACACTCCTATTAAGCAATCCTCCTTTTACCTTAAGCTACCCCCCCACCCCCGATCACATCTGATAAGTCTTATCTACAAAATGTGTCATAATTTTTGCACAGGCCACATTTTATGTCTTATTCTTTCCCCAGTATATCAGATTCAGCAAATAAACAGCAACTGTGTATTAAAATGTGCAGAAGTGTGTTCAGTGTAGATGTGTTAACTTCTTTCATATAGAAAATCAACAACACATTATTTGACCAGGGGCGCTCAAACTTTTGCTTATGACTATGTATTTTTGCATGAATTCCTTCATTTGTAGCTGTTACTCAGGAGAGCAGAACGTGTGTTGGGCCGAGATGTGACTTTGTGTGTGACTGTACAGACTGCAGTGATGAGCAGGATTGTGGTGAGATACAAATACATCTTATATTATCCAAAACAAACCGAGCTGAGATGCTGTGACTCCTAAATTCAAATTAGGCTCTGCTGGGTTGTAACAGGTTATCAGGGGGAGAGATTTTGTGTGTGATTTTGAGGATGCTGGCATGTGTGGCTGGACAGACACATCGTCACATGGAGGCTACGTGTGGGAGAGGCGTCAAAGGGGTAACCCTCTGCCCAACAGTGGGCCCTCCTCTGACTACACCATTGGCACCTCTACAGGTACATACATCTGGCACAGCGCACTTAATTTACTGTTTGTTTGCTTTGTCTGGAGGTCATATTATTTAAAATGTATATGGAAATAATATTGAATTAATAAATTATTTATAGTATCTTGAAAAAAATATATATATGTGTGTGTATATATATATATATATATATATATATATATATTTTATTTATTTAATTGTACTCCTTATAACACACCTACACTCTCCAGTTCATGTATGGAAACTAAGCTGCCAAAACAGTATTTGTCTGCCCATATAAGTGATAAGGAATGTTGTGGCAGAGTTACTGGAGAGGAAGCAGTTAAATACTGTGCTGCTTCTAGATGAAGCAAGTGTTTCATTTCAGTCTTCCAAAGGATCCAGACATCTGAAAGTCTGAAGTTTGTAATTTCCAACATTCAGTCTAAAAATTAACAGATTGTACCACTTTTCATCCCAGGTTACACAATACAGCAGCTGATCAGAACCAATCAGGTTGTTTACATACATAAGTCTTACAATGAAACTTTCATGCAACTAGTTTCAGTCTTTTATCTATCTATGGTTCTTTACTATGCATTTGACTTCGCTGTAGATTTTATAGAATCTTTTCTGTGTTTGTTAAGCCATTGAAAATAAATGTTTGATTAGGGGTTGTATCTGATGCCTCGCTCATCCTGTCCAGAAGCACTGCTAGTTCATCGTTGTCTCCTCATCTGTAATGTCTTTTCATCATTTGGATTACAAAATTGGACTACAAGAGAAGAAAACAATTAATCTAACCACATAGATCAGGATAACAGCAAGCTAAAGAAGAATAAGTGGTGTTATAGGCAGCTGTTTGAACAGCTGTTACCATTAGCTGGCTAGTTAAACAAATTATAGAGCAAGTTACAGAAACAGTTTGAGAAACTCTTGTTTGTTTGTTGTTGTGGCTCAGATAAATAAGCTGAAAAACTACCAACCCTGCATGAAGTCAGTCAGGAGGATCTCATTTTCAGTCGTCCAATAAACTATCTTCTCTTTCAACCATCTTCTGTTCTTTTCTATAAAATCAATACTTTGAAATGATGTCGTTTGATGTGGTCATGTGACGCATTATCGGCATTTTGATTGACTGTTTCTTGCAACTGTTGCAGCTGAGTTTCAAGTGAGTTGCAGGATGCTTTACATTATGCAACACAAGTGCAATTGAGTTTCATGTAGGTTTCAAGCCAACCAAAGTCACAGAAACAAAACAACCCTGTTTGAAGGATAAAGAGAAAAATGAATTACATTGTAAGTTTGTGTGGTTTCATGTACGAGACCAATATGGCCCCTTTAAAGTTGCTTTGTAGCTGAAAATGAAATTCCTGTACTGAAGCATGAGTGCCTTATGCTCATGTGTGTGTGTTGTTCTGTAGGCTGGTTCATGGCAGTGACTGCAGTGATGGCAGATTCTCCCAGTACCGCTATCCTGATGTCTCCCATGATTAGCCAGTCCGCCCCCACCTGTCGCCTTCGCCTCCGCTACTTTATATGGGACTCAGGTACACATGCAAACATTTAGCACTGTTCTCACTACTCATATAGTGTAAGTGAACTATTTACATTAGCAGGCACTTGTTTGGAAACTAGATTATGGAAAAATGGAATTATGAGTATAATTCCACTGTCCAATGGTACATATGGGTTTTATTTTCATACCGTCTTAGGAAGTATATACACAGACGGCTGACAAACTAAAGGAAAAACCAAAGTGTCTTAGTAAGGTTTTGGGCCGAAATAAGCTGCCAAAACAGCTTCAATTCACCTTGGCATACATTCTCTACAAGTCTCTAGAACTGTACTGGAGGGATGGAACATTATTCTTCCAAAACAATATTCTCTCAGTGTTTTGATGATAGTGGAGGGAACACTGTCTAACACATTGGTCAAAAATCTCCTGTATGCGTTTAATTGGGTTGAGATCTGGTGACTGTGAAGGCCATAGCATTTTCACAATTTTCATACTCATAAAACCATTCAGTGACCCCTCCTGCCCTGTGGATGGAGGCATTAGAAGAGACCGCTCCAAACAGGTTAGAAATGCTTCATAATAGGGTAAAGGTGATCAGTCAGAAAAGTATTGGATTGATTTACAGTGGCCCTTCACTTTAAGGGGACAAGTGAACCCAAAGCATACCAGAATAACAGAGCCACTATACCCCTTCACAGTCAAGCTTTTAGGCCTGTGCTGTTCTCTTGGTGTATGCTGCACATGCACTCGCCCACTTCTGGAGAATACGGTAAAGGGTGACTCATCTGACTGTGTCATTTTTGAAAAATGCATAAGAATATTCTTTATTCTTGAGATTGAACAAGTGTTTCCACCATCTAAAATAAGCCATTGATGATGCTGTCTACACCAGGGGGCTAATGAGAATGTTTCGTATTGTTAAATGCTTATTGTGTACATTGCTTGTCCATCCTTTATAATATGTCTGTCCCAGGTTACACAGGTCTAGGAAACAGCTCTCTCTGGGGGTCAGTGTGGCAGCCTGATGGGCAGAATGCGGTGGTGTGGAGACCAGAGAACACGAGTGTTCGTGCATGGAGAGAGGCCACCATCTTCCTGGGTCGCATCTCCAGCCCCTTCCATATACAGCTTCACTCACACCGCCAAGAAGGGAGGAGAGGAGACATAGCCATCGATCAGCTAGAGTTTCTGGACTGTGCTCTACCAGGTGAAGCAGGAGGGAGGAAGAAGATGGCAGTGTTTTTTTTTTTTTTTATTTTAAATGTAGTGTGATTGAGTGAAAGATCAGAGTTAAACAGTTCTTTCTTTATGTAGTTAAACAGCCAAGACACGCTTCTTTAGGTCTTTATTACACTAGAGCTACAAGGCTAATATTACTAACAACTAATGGAAGCTTACAATTCACCACTTTGCACACCTAAATCATCTCTTATATACCTTGAGATATTAAGAAGCCTTAAAAAGATAAAAAAGACCTACTTATGTCATTTTTGACAGTTTAGTAGTATGGCAAAAATGTACGTCACAATATTTTATTACATAACACGGTATAGTGTTTTATTATATAACACGGTATAGTGTGTATGCGGTATGGTACAAAGCTGAAATCAGCTTCCTGTTCGCCAGGCTCTTTTTTTAAATTTCCCATCACACCTTAAATGGTGCAGCAGTTATATTCAGATGCTATACTGTAACTGCTGCACCATTTAAGGTGGAGTGGAAAAAATTTTAAAAAGCAGCTGGCGAATAGGAAACGTCAGCCCTGTAAAAACAGTGCTTGCTTGTTTTGCATCTAATATCATTTGTCTTATATGTCCTTCTCCTACAAGCTTTATTTGGCTGGTATTAAATATTACAAGTCGTTCACACTATCGGTTTTAGCTAAAATGCTGCAGAGCTTCTTGGCTTGTAGGCCAAGATTGCAGTAATGCCGGAAGCAGCTGGCTGACAGAGCACTGCACATGGAAAGCTGGCTATTCACTGTGCTAGGATAATGGCTAACAGCTAACCCGCAAGAGACTGGCTTTTCCTTGCACTCTCCTTTTCCCTATTAACTCATTAACTCATCACAATCTGATGTCTGCTCCTTTTACAATAAACTGGACTAACTTACCTCAGGCTGCAATTCACTACATGAGAGGTGAGGGAATCAACGTGTTTTGCACTGTTTGTACGGCATCTTATCTGCATTTAGTTGCATACCAGTGTAACGGTAATGACAAGACTAATATGATAAGAAACAGGTACACCGGTATAACTGTGCTCACTCACATTGTCTCTCTCTGTTTCTCAGTTCCTTCAGGTAGTGGGGGGTGTGAGGAAGGCTATTTGGAGTGTAAACAGGGAGGCTGTGTGGAGGAACGTGCAGTGTGTGATGGCACAGATGACTGTGGAGATGGAACAGATGAACAGAACTGCGGTCAGTGCCTGGCTCTCAGACTGATTCTGTGTCAGTGTGGACTCAGTGAATCACTTGAGTTATTGGCAAGGTGGATTGCTCTCTGTTCAGGAGCCTTATGCGACACGTCTTGTGAGGACTTTAGAGAAAGCCAATGCTATTCCTGGAGATCTGCTACCCTGCAGACTTTAGTCGCAAATCCTCTTTCATGCCACCTAGTTCTCCTTTAGAGCAGGATGGGGCAGAATGGAAAAAAATGATTTGTTTTGAATTTGTTTAATTTAAACATATTAATCATTTTCATATGTATAAAATACATCAACATGATTTTGTCTGCCAGTGTACAAACTTTTGGAAGTGTTTGCATTGATGTAATTTTATCCATGTGGAAATGCTGCATGTGAATCAATCAAGTTCAGTGCCGAATATTTTTCAGTGTAATTTTTCTATTTAAAGATTTTTATCCTCTGTTGATTTGAATCTCTGGTTTCTGGTTTCAGGACAGTACATGAGCTGTGACTTTGAGGATGACCTGTGTGGGTGGGACCTAAGAACACTGTCATCACTGACGTGGATAAGGACCTCTCAGATAAACATTTCAATGTCTGAGCCTCTGAGAGGACCTGGAAGGGACCACTCTATCAATTCCGCCTCAGGTGCATGCAGGCCTGTCGTAGACTTACAGTGTAAAGTTAAAATGCTTCAATACCTTTTGGAACAATGCAACATTTCATTTTATTTTCTGTTATGTTTTTACTCGTAGGTCATTTCCTCTATGTTACCAAGCCAGATGTGTGGAAGAATGATTGGACATCTTTTCAAAGCCCTCGTCTGGAGCCAACCAATAGCACACATCCATGTCGTGTACGTTGAACGGTAGAGCGAGCATCACATTAAAGACTCTCTCCAGTAGTCAGGATGATCTTAATCCTAAAAAGCCTTTCAGAAACTGAGCCCAGATGTGGCATTTTAAAGCTTCTATATTCTGCATTTTCTTAATTCCACATTTGTGCGGTTTATTCATAAATTCATTTTTACATTATCTTTTTAAAATCTCTCATTATCTCCTAAAATTAAACCGTTAGACTGTTTTGTTACTGTGCCTTCAAGGTTCACATATGTAAATGAGCTGTGTTCTGATTGGCTGTCTTGTATTGCTCCTCTTTCAAAAAGCAGTCCAGGGTGAAACACACCTTATAACTTCAGCATGAATGAGTGGGGTTAAACTGCTGTAGGCTGAATATGTAAATGCATCAGATTTTTAACAAAAGTATGTATTCAAAACAGGCCATTTGTACAGCTTGATTTCAATATATGGACTGTATGGATTTGGGAGTGTATGGATGATGTTGAATCTAAATAATGTCTACATATTACATCAAATTCTAATTAAAAAAATAATAATAACAATGAAAATGCAAGCCCTTTAAACTGTAACTCAGACATTTCACACAAGCTTGCACATTCACAGTAAACAGCGTTTTTAAGCCAGTTTGACATGTTTGTGTATTAAGTAGTCATCAAGGTGTAATAATTAATTTTATAAGTGGTATTTTTTGCGCCTGTGTTTCTGTGGCTCATATTCTTATATGTACAAAATAAGCCACTCTGATCTGGTGCCACTGCATCGTAATCAGCAGCTGGTGTTTTTATTGGCAGATGGTGATGTACACGCACCAGTTTGGTGGCGTGTCTGGGGGTCTGTCGGTGCTGGTGGCAGAGAGAGAAATCTACCCAGTGTGGGAGCGAGGAGGCTCACTGGGTGACCTGTGGGTGAAGGCAGAGATTGAATTTGTCGTGAACAGCACATTTCAGGTATAACTTGCTACTATTTCACTATTAGACTAATTTAGTATATTGTTACTATCATTCAACTTCATAATGCCAGGGTTTTTTTTTTGACACCAGATGCCCTTTTTATAGTGTCATCATTTCACAGTAGAATTGGTCCTAAATTGTATGTAACTTAATCTTAATGCATTTCAATATTTCCCATTTCTCTGAAGTGTTGTATGTCTATACTGTACTATCTGCCATTGTTTTACTTAAATAGTGGTAAAAGTAAGCAGATTTAAAATAATAGCAGTTGATCAAAGTGCAGTACATGAACAGCAATACATGAAATATAAACTGTGTCAAAATACAGAGTAAATAAAAAGCAAAATAACCTAAAAGTAAAGTGAATCGATCAGCATAACCCTGTCCAAACCAAAACCAAAAAAAAGGATTTCACAAAAATATTTTTAAAAAATCCAATTTTTAAACAAAGATGAGAGGAAGGCAACATTGTTCCAAATGAAGCTAAATCAGACCCCTGAGTTCATATGTCAGTAAAGGGATAGACTGTGTCAGAGGGTCCCAAGCAGGAGGACTATGACATACATACTGGCCATTCAGTAACTAAAATTTCCAATTGTATTTGGGTAACAGTTACAGACCATGTCGTCAATCAAAGCTGGTGCAGAACAGAAGGTGCAAGGAGGTCCAACCCAAATTTAAGCTGACACTCTGTAGCATCCATACAATGTTTTGTAATTTATATAGGTAAATCCGCCATTGTTTAAAATGTTTTTATAAAATAACAGACATCCCTCATAGCACATCACTCTAGTGATCAGCACTTGTTTCTGGCCTCCTGTTTGTCATAATTTGAGACAGTGTTGCCTTCCATTGCTCTTACAGTTTGTCCTGAGTATGGAAAAAGCAAAAAGCAGAAAAGATGCCTATGGATGAATTTATTATTTTGAGTGGCCCTTTTAAATGAATCAAACACTCAACGCACTTTCAGTAACATGTCAAAAGCATATGAGGGTTAGGATTAGGTTTTGGGTTGAGGTAAGGTTAGGGTTAGGATTAGGGCCAGGATTAGGATTAGGATTAGGTTAGGTTTTGGGTAAGGTTAGGTTTTGCGTAATGAAAGTAACATATTATCAATACATCTACTGAATGTAAGTAATGTATCAATAGTACATCTTCAAGATATTTACTTCAATGTATTCAGATGCTTCACTACTGAATCTTCACTGGTATGTTGTTGATGTTTTACTGATAATCTGATAAGAGTTTATTAATCATCTACAAAGAACCACTCCAAATAAAATGCTACCCTTTTTTATTCTTGAAGTGGGAGTGTGGAGGGAGGTCTGCACTAAACTGCCTGAAATGTATAGTCATAGAATCTGTAGTTTTCCTAATTTTTTGGCAAGTCTGTCATTGTAAAAATCATTTTCATATATTGATAGTCTTACACATTACCCATCACTCTCCTGATAAATACTGAGAGATTAGAGATGTCCGCAGCATCTATGATGCATGCTTACTGTCAGCAACTGATGATGACTGGTTACTGATTTAACTGTTTACATGCTGAAGATGTTTATGATTGAGAGTGTTTTCTGTCACTAAACACTGTCATTCAGTTATTCAGTGGACTTTGTGTTTTTCTGTGAGATCTGTGTTACGTTTTTTGAGTGATAGCAAAGAAGATGTAATAACTCATTTGAAAAAGGACACTTCATATTGGTTCATCTTGTCGTTCTGTCTTACCCTCTGTATTTTCTTTTTTTGTTTTTTTCTCTCCCTTTCTTGGTCTCTTGCTGCATCTATCCTGCAGATATTATTTGTTGCTGCCATTAGGGACCAGGCATACGGAGGCATTGCTGTTGATGACATCATACTGTCCCCTGAATGCCGCATTACCAATGGTAAGATGTTCTCTCTCTCTTTAATGTTGTTGATATGGAATCATAATCCTAACCAGTTAACTTTATCTTAAGCCTGACTTTTTTGTGTAGTGTAGACTAAGCTGACATAAAAATAAGCACTCAGAATAACTATAAAGTCCAGTTTACTCTTACAGGGTTAAGCATAAGTGGCTATTCCAGTGAAGAACTGACAGTTAAGTCCAGAAAAAAGCTTTGTCTCTTAGAAACCCTGTATTTGTGTTATTGCTCATTCTCAGGTGATGTTCTCTGCCTCCTGCGTATTTAGCTTATCATTATATCTCTGCTACCAGAATCAATGCCAAGACCATCCTTTCCCAGCCCCCCCAAACACCCCTGCACAGAGGACAGCAAGATCTGTGACTTTCAGAGTGACTGCAAAGATGGAGAGGATGAAGCACAATGTGGTGAGTGACTGCATGTGTGTATGTGTATATGATAGTGTATATATGTGTGTGTGTGTGTGTGTGGTGTGTGGTGTGTGTGTGTGTGTGAGCGCATGCGTGTGTGTTTGTCGTGAATGGATGGGAATATGATTTGTGTTTCATGATGCCCGTAGGTGACTTTTCCTTTGAGCAGGGTAGTACAGGCTGGACAGATACGAGTATTGGAAGCCAAGGCTGGAAGCTAAAACAAGAAAACAGTGTAAACAACTTTACAGGTAAGTGTTACACAAATAAAATACTGTAAAAATACTGTAACTCAGTAGCCAGTAATGTATTGCAAATGTACATATGAACGCACACACATTTTACATACATTTTAACTTTACAGCCCAGCAACCTCACAGTAGTTTGCTGTGGTATTACAGAAAACATCTTAAGATGAATTGATTTCACAAAAAATGATGAATATAGTATTTTATTGTGGAACATTAGTGTTAAATATTGTGAAATTAACAGTGTGCAGTCTGTTTACCCTGGAAAAAAGTTTGTATGTATACACTACCATTCAAAAGTTTGGCATCAAAACTTGTATAAATATTGGATGTGTCCAAAGTGATGAATAGAGCTGTAGATGATTCCATAATAACAGAGAAAGCTGTGGAACATTGAGAATGTTGTAGGAAAGTTAACGCCCAGAAGTCCTCGTATGTTGAAAGTGGTGATCAAAACTTCAGGCAGAGAACTTGACGTAAATAAAGAACAGCGGTATTATTTATTATTTAATAACTTCTTGATGTGCACAAAGTACAGTGTTATATACTTTATATATTTTAAATATACAATAATAAAATAATGATAAAATAATAAAAATTAATAATAAAAATTGTGAATATAACGAGTGATTCCACACTTTAAGCAGTATATAATGTAAGTCTATGTTTATGTGTCAATATGGTGTTTGTGTTGTTAGAGGTGTTCCTGTATGTGACTGATGCCCCTGGTCAACAGCTGACTGAAGCTCAGACCCGCACTCCATTGCTGGGACCCTCAGGCCCGAGCTGCACCCTGCAGTTCTCCTATAGCCTCTCAGGAAGCAACCCACACATAGGTACTCTAAACTCTACACCTCTGCACTACAGCAACCCACACACAGGTACTCTAAACTCTACACCTCTACACTACAGCAACCCACACACAGGTACTCTAAACTCTACACCTCTACACTACACCTACCCACACATAGGTACTCTAAACTCTACACCTCCGCACTACAGCAACCCACACACAGGTACTCTAAACTCTACACCTCCACACTACAGCAACCCACACACAGGTACTCTAAACTCTACACCTCCACACTACAGCAACCCACACACAGGTACTCTAAATTCTACACCTCTACACTACAGCAACCCACACACAGGTACTCTAAACTCTACACCTCTACACTACAGCAACCCACACACAGGTACTCTAAACTCTACACCTCTACACTACAGCAACCCACACACAGGTACTCTAAATTCTACACCTCTACACTACAGCAACCCATACACAGGTACTCTAAACTCTACACCTCTACACTACAGCAACCCACACACAGGTACTCTAAACTCTACACCTCTACACTACAGCAACCCACACACAGGTACTCTAAACTCTACACCTCTACACTACAGCAACCCACACACAGGTACTCTAAACTCTACACCTCTACACTACAGCAACCCACACATAGGTACTCTAAACTCAACACCTGTTATTTTCTCTCCTGATTGAACAGTGGGGCTAAATCTAATCTGACACATTTACGGAATGGCTCAACTTGACCTTATTCTGATATTTAATTTTGATGAGTGCATTCATAAGATTTATTTCCATGGAAACATTTTTGGGTCAGTTGATCTATTTTTTGTCATCAGATAGCGACCTCTGCATTTCACTCACAAGAGACTCTCTCACTTACTTTTCATAATTTATTACTTACATTAAAAATGCCTACTATTAGCATAATTTATTTAGATTTCATTAGGTTTCATGATCTGTCATATCCAAGAATCATTTGCGCTCACCAGTGAAAAGTTGAATACTATTGTTTTGTTTAAATTGTAATTATTATTCTTATTGCAATACTACTATTACTACCACTACTACTAGTACTGATACTAATAATATTAGTAAGGAGTTATACTCATACATTACCACTGTATTAGTCAGATGATCACAACAACTATGTAATTAATTAATTGATTAATTAATTTCACTCACAATTATTTAATTACTTTTGTCATACTGTAAAATAAAGTAGAGTCATTATGGCATAAATTGAAAGAGGCCTCAAATTTACTTTAAAGCATGATAATTCTAGTGTTGCACTTTAATTAAATAGACAATTTAGAAAAATGCAAAGACTAGATGTGGTTTGACACTGACATAAGTTATGCGATCGGTAAAACAAATTGATGCAAAGTTTGCCAGGGGGGCTTCTTCCCTAGGTAGTAAGGGGCTTCTTGCCCCGATAATGTGTAAGATGCTCCTTTTCATTTCCCTTTTTTGTGCTATAAAAATGAAATGTGCTGTTTATTTCCCAAAATTGTGCATAAGGTTATGATTCATCATCCTGTACTTGCTAAACTCACTGCACATACTGTTCTCTGAAAACAGAAAACACATATATTACATTTTTAAATGAGTGTGTGATGATCTTTGGGAGGCTGGGAGCGGTGAGGACACGGGGAGCAGGGCGTGGAGACACAGAGTTTTCTTTTTTATTCTGACAACAACACAAATGCTCAGCTTTTCAGCCAGCGTACAAAATTACAGAGCACATTCGTGGGGACTTTTCAGTCTTGAGTCTTTCTTTCTCCTGTGTCTCCACTGATCTCCTTCTCTCTCTGGGCTCTGCCACCTACTGAGAAAAGACGTGGCTATAAGTAGGCAGCAGCAACACACAGGTGAATCTTATCAGCTACTTAGGCCGTTAGTTCGGCATGACTGGCTCTCTGTCTTGCATGCGACGCTCGACCACGCTCCCTCCTCCACATAGTAGTAGCAGCTGTCTTGACTAAATTATGTATACCGTCCATTATCCATACTTTAACTTTTCCATTTTTAAAGACATAATTTATTAGTTACATTAACCTTATTTCCTTCAGTGCAAAACTAAAGAACCAAATGCCAGGTATCAAACGTTTCGGTGGGCTCACTAATTTGGGCTAAGGGGACCATGAAATACATATGATTTGTTTCTGAACTGTTGTTTGAAGTGTACACAGGTGTAATAAACAGTCTGTGTACTCTCTCGCTGTAGGTGAACTGTCTGTAGTTGTAGTGGACAGTGTGTTGGGCACTCTGCCTCGACTGTGGGAGTTCAGTGGGCAGACAGGGCAGGACAACGCATCTTGGGTAAAAGAGGAGCTCTATATCGGAGCCAGAGATCATCGATTCCAGGTGTGTTTCATAATTTACAGTTTATTGTCATGGATCTTTCTCTTTCTCTCAAGAGTATGATGAGTTTATATTTTAGTAGTTTGTATGTTATACCTCAGTCTTTTGTTTTGCAATCTTGAAAATAAAGGTGTCAAAAGGGTTTTTTTGAGTGATGCCATAAAGGAGCCATGTTTGGTTTCCTTGAAGAACCTTACAGTGGATGGTTCTTTAAAGGAATATGTCCGCATTTTTCAATGTTTATCTGCTATATGGACAATAATTCACAAAAATAAAACAGAAAACCCACTGACTGAAACCACACTGTTCATTATGTTCTATTAATTTCTTTTCATTCATTAATTAATGTCCATGGCAAGTGACCGCGAACTTCATAGGCAGCGAATAGAGATCAGGTTGAAAAAGGCTGGAGTATTGCTTTAAATACCCATCCACTGAAAGGTTCTTTAGGAAACTAAAGGTGGTTCTTCAATGGTATCGCTCCAAAGAACCCTTTTGGCATCTTTACTTTTAAGAGTGTAGTCATCAGCTTGAAGAACGCAGCATTTTCTGCTCTCTGTGAAAGTGATATAATTACCATGACTCACCTTCTCTGCCCTTTTTCTCTGTAAGCTGGAGTTCAGAGCTCGTGCTCAAGAGCTGAACCTGGGCACCAGAATAGCAGTGAGGGATGTTTATTATGTGAACTGCCACCCACAGTATATCCCCTCTACTTCTGATGGTGAGGGCCAAACTCATATATATATAAATATACAATATTCATCCTTGTTGCAGGAAAAACCTTGTTCTTCCAAAACAGCAGCTCCGTAGGGGGAAAGAAGTGTTTGTGTGCCTCATCATCATTAAACTGTTAATAGTGATTGTTAAATTTGTGTAAAAAATAGGGATGCAGGATGATTTAGGAATCATATCAGTATCAACAGATAATTGTTTAAAAGAAACGTTACCGTCATCGGACCAATGATTAGATCTGACTGATAAATAAAACTTGTATCTTATGATACTTTGACAGATACAGTACTGTAGAAAACCCAGAGACCACCCTTCTTTTATTTAGTTTCCATCTCAAATGGCCATTAATTACAAGTTTTTTAGGCGATATTTCTGAATAGATTAAATATAAGAAGCATAAGGAATAGAGCGACCACCCCAGAATCTGACCTCGTTGTCACTGAATGTGTTTGGGATTACTTGGATTCTTAGAAGCAGAAAATGCAACCAGCTTCTAAGACTGAACTTTGAAGGTGTGGAAAAATATCCCTGTAGATTTTGCGAGTCTCCAAGCTGTAATAACGGCAAAGCCTGGACACACTATTATATTTAGTTGTCAAGGCTCTTGTGTAATTTTCTGTTAAATATGTTTTCTAGATTTTTTTTCCTGATGCTTGATTTTGACTGGAAATAAATGAAAGGCATCTCTCTGCATGTACATGAAAAATAACAGCTATATTGTCCCAGAATTCCCATTTCGGAGCATCCATCCCTGATAGAAATATCAGAGCATTGTGTGAATTTGTGAAAAATAATCTGAGATTTTTGGGGTCATGTAATATTCCACTGAATACAAAGGCAAATGTCAATTTCTAACAGTTAAAGCCCACTTAGAGGTGTTTTATAGCTTTGCGTAATAATTGCATAACAACGACTTTGGGTTGGACTGAATTTAATTCAGGAAGGGTTAAAAAACAAAAGATCTTTGTTTAAATGAACAGCATATGATGTAATTTCTTTATCAATGACCTTATTACAAGCCTCATTTTTCTAAACTATAGATATTTACAGACATGACAGTTTATTTTGCAAACTGAATTTACTGACCATTAGTAAATTAGGTTTACATTTTTGTGAGTAAAAGTGTGAATACCCTTGTACTGTAAAAATGTGTAGAGGTTTTGTGTGTAAAACGTATTTTGCTCTATCCTTTAAACAGGGCCATCATGTAACTTTGAGACTGACTTATGTGGGTGGTACCAAGATCAGACAGACAACTATGACTGGAGTATTAAGAATGGAAGTGACCACACTATTGGCAGTGGTATGGACCATATTTTGTAATACTTCTTTAAATAGTTTCTTGTTGTATTATTTGTACTTTACTGAGTATTTCCTTTAAGAAATCATTTGAGGGATGATAATCCACTATTTTTACACTTGGAGTGTGTATGCGTTTCCCAGATGTATCACATGAAAAATCCTATCTTACTTAAGTAAGCTTCTTCATGCCTGGCTGTATGTAATAACACCTCTCAGGGAGAAGTCTGGTGGTGGACATGTGGAGCACAACTCTGCGTGGCCTTTCTGGTCGTCTTCTTTCACACCGCCAGAGTTCTCTGACTGAACACTGTCTCCTTTTCTTCTACAAACTCTACGGCCCCCAGACAGGTAACAGGCAGAGAAACATCACTTGTATCTGTGCCTTGTATCTGTGAAATCTTAACTTTATGTGAAAGTTGTTTTGATTGTATGCACATGTAACAGGATTTTATTTTCAGTTTTGCACCATTTCAATTAGTCCTTGTGAAATTTTCACACACATTTCACATTTAAAGTGCAGCTGGGGTTTTCAAATAACAGTGACAATATGCCACATATGTTTTTATGCAAAGCAAAGCTAAATGTGGATCTTTTAGAATGAAGCTCTTTTTTTTCAAAATAGAAAAATTACAGCACACAAAACAAGCTTTATTCAGAAGTTGAGATAACTAGCCTGAGAGAAATGCTATGAACTTTTACAGGTGCTCTCAATGTTAAGGTGCTACACTCAGATGGCTCAGAGCAGCTGTTATGGACTCGTGTGGGCGCCCATGGAAACCTTTGGCAGGAAGGTCACTGTCCAGTGCCCAGTCAACTTACTACCTACCAGGTACAGCTAAACAAACTAAATATGTGCAGTCTATTTATTTATTCTCCCAAACTAAATCTTCAATATTTAATATTTATTGCAGTTAATAATATTTAAAATATTTCATAATTTATTACGATGAATTTACCCCATTTGCAATATTTATCAATCTGTATGTACTGTCTGCCTATAGACACAGATGGATAGACACTTTGTATAGTTTAAAAGAATTTTTCAAATTGATTTCTTCAAATAATTCAGTACTTGTACTATTTTGATTTTATTCGATTAGTGTTTTTTGGTGTATTATTTTCAACTAGCTTTTCCCTGGATAGATTTCTTGTGAATGATCTCCTACATGGAAAATAAAACCGTTGATTATGAGTATGACCTTGGTTAGCATATGACTAACAGACATAGCAAATTTATGCCAAACAACCCAAATAGCTTTTACATCTTAATTGCTTTCTTGATTTATTTGCATTTTTCTGTATTACCTTTCAAAAGGTCCTGTTTAGCATTCTTCTCTGTCTCTCTCTCTCTCTCTCTATCTCCCTCCCTCTCTCTCTCTCTCTCTCTCTCTGTCTCTCTATCTCTCTCTCTCTCTCTCTCTCTCAGTTGGTGTTTGAGGCAGTGCGCTCAGGTTTTGATGGTCAGGTGGCTATAGATGATGTGGCATTTGTAGAAGGATCGTGCTCTCTGCCCACTATGTGCTCTTTTGAGGGCCACACGTGTGGCTACAGCAGCAGTGGAGCCGCAGCATGGGTCCACCAGAACTGGGACTCCACCAGAACCGGCCCAAAGACCGACCACAGTCTCGAGACAGAGATGGGTGAGAGTTAGCACTGGATATAGATAGATAAATGAATGGATGGAAGGGTGGATGGATGAATGGAAAGGTACATTATAAACGCATAATAAACTGGCACATGTATCTAACAGAAAGACAGATAGATTCGTTGATGAACGGATGGACAGATACACGATAAACAAAGAATAAACAGACACAAGTAACAGAAAAATGGATGGATGGATCTCTAAAGCAAAATTTGGGTGCAAAACACAGTAATATAAACTCAGGACTATGTAAACAGAGAGAATAAACAGAAACAATGTTTCCTTTGAAATGTGAAATAAATGAGGGAGAAACAAGACACATTTATGTTTTGTGTGCTCTTACTGCCAATGTCTCCTCAGGCTACTACATGCTCGCCCACAGTGGTATGGAGGTCCTGCCTCAAGGCAGGGTAATGACCCTGAGCTCTCCTGTGCGTCGCGGTGTGGCGCATACTGAGTGTGTCCGTTTCTGGTACCACACCGGGGGAGATAACCCAGGTTAAACAGCGAAGTCACAGACATGTGCTTTGTGTTACGGCAGCACTTTCCTCAAGAGCCTCTGCTTACATGTGTGTGTGTTTTATATGTATGTCATGAAGGCACTCTGACTGTGTATATAAAGCCTGTGAAGGGGGACATAACCAAGCTGTTCACCAGCAGCCTGAGTCAGGGCCATGTGTGGCGCCTTGGCATGAGCAACATCAGCTGGAATGGAGACTGGCAGGTAGGCTCCAAATAACCTGTAACCTGACATTGATATAGCGCGGTCAATGCACTGAAACCCTTTTATCTCTTATACTTTGATTGGCCTCTTTTTTTAGAAACCCCTACCTTGCTGGTGTACAGTTACAGACTGTAGCTCATCTGTTGATGTATAGCTTGTGTTAGCCATTATCTAGCCATTCATCAGTGGTCCTATTCTGATCTCAGAGCTGCTCTTTGCTGGATATTTTTGAATGGTGGTCCACTTTCAACGTAACAGTGACACTCACAATACAGTGCCAGTGTCACTACTGTGCTGAGAAATGTCCACCACCCAGTTAAAATCTGATCAACAGTGGTCCTGTGGTCAGAAACTGACCAGTGTTGAATGTGGTAGAGGAAGGCTGATGTATTATATATAGTGGTAGGTTCACCTCACAGAGTGGCCAGAGAGTGGACAAACAGCAGTTTAAATAAAGTGAATGGTGAGTGTATAACATGCATGTTAATGATGTGAGATATTGACTGTGTGGATGGTTTATCAGTTGCAGTTTGAGGTGCAGGGAGCCGGAGGCAAAGACACTTACATCGCCATTGATGATGTCATCTTCTCAAGCCACAGTTGTCCCACTTCAGGTTTTTATTTGAAATCTACACAAAACGTTGCAGAGAAATGAAAGCACAACTATCCAGTATAAACATAAAAATGCTAAGTTGATCACTTGCGATGTGAATTTTTCAGGTGACGTGTGTGATCTGGAGCGAGGTCTGTGTGGATGGAGCAACACTCAGAACCCCCATGTAGACCATTTAGATTGGGAGCTGAGCAGCCTGCTGTTTGAAACTCATTACCCTTCACCACCATATGACCACACACTGGGCAATGAGAGAGGTAAGCCTTGATTTTTAAATTATTTTACCCAAGCTATGTATAACAGAATGTATGTCTGTGTCCATTTATTGTACATCTGTGCTATAACATTGCACCACTGCACATACATTTTCTACTGTTTCTCATTGATAAAAAGCTATTTTTCATTGTTATTAATCATAGTACAAATTTCGTTTGTACAACCGGTTTTGTGCAGTTTTACTCTATTCTTCAAACAGGTAACTTTGTGATTATTGTAATGTTTCTGTCGTAACACTGCTAAGTTCTAACTGGTCTGTTCTACTTGACTTACCAGGTCACTTTCTGTTCCTTCCAAATACTCCACGGGACACTGCTGGCCAGAATGCCTGGCTGCTGAGCCCTCATTTGCCACCCACCAAAGGCACTTGCTTGCACTTTTGGGTTTATCAGCCTGTTGCTGGTAAGGTCATAGCTACACTATATGTGGACAGTATGTGGAAACCTGACCATCACACCTACATGAGCACACCTGTATTGTTGGACATCCCATTTCAAAACAATAGGCATTAATATGGAGTTGCCTCCCCTTTGCAACCATAACAGCCTCCACAACCTCCTCTCTTCATCCTAAAGGTATTCAGTGGGGTTGAGGTCAAGCCACTGGAGTTCCTCCACACCAAACTCATCAAACTGTGTCTTTATAGACCTCACTTTGTGCACAGGGGAACAGTTATGCTGGATCAGAAAATGGCCCCAAACTGTTGCTATGAAGTTGGAAGTGTATAATTGTCTAAAATGTCTCTTAATGCTGTAGCATTAGCATTACACTTCACTGCAACTGAGGGGCCCAAACCCTGAAAAACAGCCCCAGACCATTATTCCTCCTCCAAACCCAGATTCATCCATTCAACTGCCAGAAGTGAAGTGTGAGGTCACGTTTCCACTGCTCTAGTGGTGGCATGCTTTACACCACTCCAGTCAGAGCTTGGCATGGTGCATAGCAATCTTAGGCTTGTGTGAAGCTGCTCAGTCCTGGAAACCGAATTCATGAAACTCATAGCGCACAGTTCTTATGCTGATGTTGCTTCCAGAGGCAGTTTGGCACAATGTAGTAAGTAATTCAACTGAGGATAGGTGATTTTTACACATTACATACTTCAGCACTTGGTCACCCCTCTCTGTGAGTTTGTTTTTCTTGCTCTTAGATGCTTCCATTTCACAATAATAGCACTTACCGTTGACTGGGGCAGATCTAGCAGGACAGAAATTTCACCAACCAGCTTCTTGCAAAGGTGGCATCCTATGATAGTGCCACATTTAAACTCACTGAGCTCTTCAGTACGACCCATTCTCCTGCCAGTGTTTGTGTATGGAGATTGCATGTCTATGTGTGAGTTTATACACCTGTTAGTAATGAGTGTGGCTAAAAGAACTGAACTTAACAATTAGGATGGGTGTCTATATACTTTTGGCCTTATAGTCCTTATTGTAATAAGTCTTCTATTTTACTTTTACATTAATGTAAGAACATCACCCACTAACTATTAATCAACTCATTAATCCTTCACCACACTGTTTGACAAGTTTTGTACTCTTTGAACCATATGCTTATTACTCAAGTATTATTTTAATAATTTGTATTCAGGAACTGCTTTACATTATTTAGAAACTATTAAGACACTAATCTATGTTATGTAATTATGTGTGTGAGCTCAACAGATTAACACATTTGTTAATGTAAAATAACAAAGTAATAGTGGCTGTTCCTTCCCCTAGTAAACACTATTAATGCAAGAATGTGCTTTGAGATATGATTAACAATAATATTAAGTACTTATGATCCCAACTGTGGCTCTGTATTAAACATTGTCCAAGTGTCAGTAAGACTAGTTTACTTGTTCTCCTTCTCCTGCAGATGACAGCAGGTTGGTGGTAGGGAGCCTGTCTGAAGGGGCCACACATGAGCTCCTGAGACTTTCTCATGCTGGAGGAAACTGGAGATCCTTCCGCATTAATATCACATCAGAGAAGGAGTACCAGGTGAGACATTTGTCCAACTAAAAGCTTAATGCGGTTAGTTTTCCAATTAGGCAGTTACACAAATAATGCATTACATTAATTACAATGAAATTCTAGGTGTGAAATGTTCACAGATGTATAATATAGATGTAACGTCGACTTTGCCTTCTCTTACTCTATGTAATTAAATACATTTTGACACACATATATACACTAATCAGCCATAACATTTATCAGCTCCACTTAACATATAGGTGCACTTTGTAAATCTACAATTACAGACTGTAGTCCATCTGTTTCTGTGCATACTTTGTTAGTCCCCTTTTACCTTGTTCTTCAATGGTCAGGACCCCCACAGGACCACCACAGAGCAGGTATTATCTGGGTGGTGGATAATTTTCAGCACTGCAGTAACACTGATGTGATGGTGGCATATTAGTTTGTGTCGTGCTTGTATGAGTGGATCAGACACAGCAGTGCTGCTGGAGTTTTTAAACACCTCGATGTCACTGCTGGACTGAGAATAGTCCACCAACCAAAAATATCCAGCCAACAGCATCCTGTGGGCAGCGTCCTGTGGCCACTGATGAAGGACTAGAGGATGACCAACACAAACTGCTCAGCAACAGATGATCAACTGTCTCTGACTTTACATCCACAAGGTGGACCGACAAGGTAGGTGTGTCTAATACAGTGGAAAGTGAGTGGACACAGTGTTTACAAACTCCAGCAGCACTGCTGTGTCTGATCCACTCACACCAGTGCAACACACACTAATGTGCCACCACCACATCAGTGTCACTGCAGTGCTGAGACTGATCCACCACCCAAATAGTACCTGCTCTGTGAGGGTCCTGACTATTAAAGAACAGGGAGAAGGGGGGCTAACAAAGTATGCAGAGAAACAGATGGACTACAGTCTGTAATTGTAGAACTACAAAGTGCACCTATATAGTAAGTGGCACTGATAAAATGGACAACGACTGTAGAAACAAGGACATGGTTTGAATGTTATGGCTGATCGGTGTATGTGCGTTTGTGGATGCCTATATATGCAGGTTGTGTTTGAGGGAATTAAAGGAGCAAAAGGTGTCCTTGCTCTGGATGACTTTGGCTACACAGTTGGGGTCGACTGTAATGGAGTGCAGACAGACCAGACCAGTAAGTGTCCAGCTTTATGTATATCTACCCCACTACCCAACTGTCATATTTTAGAAAAATGTTTATAAAAATAATAAAAATAACACAACAGCTTCTCTTTAGTTCTTGAAATCAGTACTTTTCTTTTTTGCAGCATCGCCATCACGTGACCACACAGGAGAAACAGTTGCGATTGTCATAGTAACCATTCTGCTGGTTGTGGCAGTGTGTGGTTTACTGGTGTACTACCTGAAAATGAAGGCCAAGGCTCAGAATTCAAGCAGTTCTGCAGATAATACAGGCTTCACAAATGAAATGTATGACTCCAGCCTTGTGGTAAGTGTCTGCCCAACCTGCTTCCCCTGTGCACTAAATAGACTTTACAGTAAATTACATACGTTATGTGGTAATAAAATAAAATAGTAGTAATCTCCGGACCCTAACAGTTTTACATTTGTACAGACTTTATTATGGTGTGACTCACCCCGGTAGGCAACAGGCTTGCTATCAAACTTTTTACTAAGACATTTAAGTTAAGAAAACAGGATGATAGACATATGAAGCCTGTATTAATTACCTTATCAACCACTGGTTAATTTCTACCCCCAGGAGGATCGTGTGACTGTTCCGTCCATGTCTGAGCGGGTGAGCGATCAGGTTTTCTGTTATATGCTTTTGCACATACTTGACTGGAAGGATGTGCTTTTCTGTAAATAGTAAGAGGGTGAATTTACAGTTCTGTTCAGAAGTCAGAGATCACTGTTTTGTTTATTCAGTTTACTGTCAAAATGCCCGTTCAGTGCAAGGTTTTAATTTTCCAGGAAAAAAACAAGGAACATACACTCACTGAGCTTATTATTAGGAACAGCTGTACACCAACTCATTCATGCAATCATCTAATTATTATCTACAGTGTATAAAAGCATGCAGATACTGACTATCAATGTCAGGTAATGTTCACATTGACCATCAGAATGGGGAAAAGATGTAATCTCAGTGATGTTGACTGTAGCATGATTGTTTGTGCCAGATGGGCTAGTTTCTGTATTTCTGTAATTGCTGATCTTCTGGGATTTTCATGCACAACAGTCTCTAGTCTCTAGAATATACTCAGAATGGTGCAATAAAGAAAAAGTATCCAGTGAACGGCAGTTTTACGGAAGCTACAACAACAGAAGGCCATGTCAGGTTCCATTTCTGTCAGCCAAGAACAGAAAGCTGAGGCTGCAGTAGGCACAGGCTCACCAAAACTACACAGTTCAAGACTGAAAAAACGTAACCTGGTCTGATGAATCTTGATTTCTGCTGAGGCACAAAGATGGTAGGGTCAGAATTTGGCACCAACAGAATGAATCCATGAACCCCACCTGCCTTGTGTCAGTAGGCCAGGCTGGTGGAGGTGGTGTAATGGCGTGGGGAATCTTTTCTTGGCACACTTTGGGCCTGTTAATACCAATCAATTATTGCTGGAATGCCAAAGCCTATTTGAGTACTTTTGTTGACTGTGTGCTTCCCTTCATAGCCAATTTTACCTCCTAATTTATTTTCTAAAGGCTACTTCCAGCATGATAATGCACCATGTCACAAAGCAAAACATGACCATGAGTTCAGTGTTCTTCAGTGGCCTTCCCAGTCACCGGATCTGAATCCAATAGAACATGTTTGGGATGTGGTAAAGCAGGAGATTCACAGCAAGAAAATGCACCTGAAAAATCGTCAGCAACTGCATGTCAACGTGAACCAGAATCTTAGAGGAATGTTTTTAATATCTTGAAGAATCTGTGCCATAAAGACTTGAGGCTGTTTTGAGAGTAAAGGGAGGCCCTACCCAGTATTATTGTACTGTTCTTAATAAAATGCTCAGTGAGTGTACATGTAACAGAAAATTAGAAGCTCCTGAGAAAAGGAAATAGAGAATAAAGCAGACATTTTCCACCAACATACCAAACTTAATGGCCATTTATACTGGACAATACATAAATAAAAGGGTGATCCCTGACTTGCACAGTACTATACTGAATCTCTGACAGGTTTGATGTGCTTGTCTGTAGGTACAGGAGGAGCTGCCCTAGGTTGTCCTGGTGATGGTGCCACCTGCTAGAGGGGCTAGTGGCCTTCATGCAAATCACATAATATCACAGCTGGAGAACTGATTATGTTTCTCTGTAGGGTCATGCTAATCAGCAGCTGACACACACACACACACACACACAGTCTCACACCTAGCAAGAGGGTCGTTAAGATGCACATTTTATGAGACTATATATATATATATATATATATATATATATATATATATATGACAAAATGCGCTGTGAATTGAATACAGCTAGATTGTATGCTATATAAATGTATGTGATATTAGAAATACCAATGTACATTGGAATGGTTTCCATTGTTTGGTTAAATACACTGTTTTGTTAACTTTTTCAATGCAGCCCTATAATCTAGAGCAGGCTTTTCCTCAGGGGTTGCAGACTCATAGGGGTCTGTGGTAGCACTGTAGGGGGGGTTGTGAGACTGTGATGAAAATGTCACTGTCAAATAACTTTATTTTTTACAAGTCAAAAATCAGAACATAACATTTCGTTGTACTTACCTCATAAGTACAAAAACTGAAGTTAATATATTAATTAAATAATGCTAGTAATTAATATTCTCATTAAATAATGATATTTAATCATAATTAAATGGATCATGTAATTTGATAAATGCTAACACATGACAGTTTAATGTAGATTACAGTTGATAGCTAGCTAGATATCAATCATTCCTTGTGGCTGTAACACCATTTTAGAACTCTAAATTTACTCAAAATAGACAGGTAGGTTTGTTGGTAAAAGAAATTACTGAATAATGAAGTTAGACATGGATATAGCCACAGGCATTTAAAATACAGATTTACATGTACAGTCAGTGACAAGACCAAACCTCTCCCTACATGTACGATTTATTTGGAGCAACTTTCTAATCAAAATGTGAAGCCAACTTTTTTAAAAAGATATTTGAAAACTAAAAATGCAAACATGACCACAAGGTTAGCCTGTACAAAATCTCAAAGTATACTTAAGGCAGATAAGATCATTTAGGTTAAAGCAACATGTCATTTATTTTGGTTTGTTCATTCATACTTACATGTTGCACTTCGTGTGTATGTGAACTGTCTTCTTACTTGTTTGTGTTTTCACCAGTCACTGTGGTCTTGATTTGGAATGTGAACTAAAGACAAAAGCAAAATAAACATTTGCATTTCTTTTTTACATATCAATGTCGGATGTTTTGTGTTGTGGTGCAAAAATCACAAATTGTGTATCAGTATTACCCTACCTAGCAAGCAGCTTTTGCATTGAAGTCCCTGTAGTTACTGAATAATAAGCTTTAATATATAATAAGCCTGGGGTTTAAGGGGTTAATTGTGTGCTGCTTAAAGGTAATTCTACTCATTTTATGAAATTTTTGCATAATTCAATTGTTGAGTAGCAGTATAAATTGAATACTAAGCTTAGCACTGGTGAACATATCCACTACTGAAGAGACTGTTCAGTTCCATCATCCCTCAAAAGAGTCCAGTAATGCTGAGATTAATAACTGGCTCATCAGTTTGGTTTATTGGTCTACTCAGGCTTTAGCAGGAACTTTAGTGTTTGTAAAGAAGCCATTTTTGAGTTTCTCTTTGGAGCTGGTCTTTACATGTTGTATTCTGGTTTTAAAATAGTTAATAAAGAAGTGTTTGTAGTATTTCTTTTAAAAGATACATATCTTTTTTTTAATTTAGTGGGTAAGCATTTTAAAAGTATTCTTCTAAAATGTCAAAGGTAACTATTCTGCCTTTACAAAATGTAACTTGGACTGTATACAGATATGTCATTTCTGCACTTTGAATATGTATTTTCAATACTTGTATTTCTTTACCTGGTAACAAATCTATGCTGTAATAGTTACTGAATAATAAGCCTTAAGATTAATGACATGATAATAAGCCTAGGGCTCAATGAGTTAAGTAGTGTGCCTTACTATTATGCATAATAATAGATTTGTTGACTGTAAAACATTGTATTCCTTACATCATTCCCTCTCTGCAGACTTATATAGTTGAAATCACTCATAAAGTGAAGTCCATAGCGAGCTCCCTGTTACAGCCTGTGTTTCCCTGAAATAATAATGGATTTTGAGCGCATCTCTAATACTGCTGAGAATTCTGAGAAAGGCATTTATGTCATGCTGCCATGTAGTAAATGAAATGTTTCACATGCAGTTCAAACAGAAGATGCTCAAACACAGACTGCATGACGACATCCTGCCATAGCAACGGTCTCCATAGCAACGTCTCATCATTCCGTTTGCCCGGTACCTCACAGACAGCGCTGACTGCAATGTGTTCACAATGAACAGCAGCTGATCTTTTGGGCAAGATTAATGAACTAAAACCACCAAAATCGTGGATGTCCATCTTCACGCCGTTTAGAGTGAGCTCGGCTTTGCCTTCACATGGGAATGTTCATCTGTAAGAGAAGCAGACTGCGCGCTTTGGATGGGCAAAGCAGGCTTGGAGAGCTGGTAAACACAGTTTTGCTTTGTATTTCCCCCCACCCGTTTTCAGACATGCCCCACCCCCCAGAGCTGGGACTGCTGTGAAAGAGATTTGCATCGGTTTTTCAAAATGTGTGAATTTTGAATGTGCCATAGAATCCGTTTACTCAATATTTTAGATTGTTCTTGTCTACATAGAAGGTATGTGACTTTGGTCGGGGTGAAAAAACCCAGAAGCAGTTTTAGATGCCAATTTATGATTTGGCCCTAGAATGAAACAAGCTACTTTTTTGGGGGTCTCATGAATGATTTGATGAGCTCTGCTCCGGTTTGCTGGTTTATGCAAACAAAACACCACAATGGCTCAGCCAGAAGCAACATATCAAGATAGACACAGGCAGGAAAATAAAATTAACCTCCATGTAAATAAATGAGGCCATCATACTGTTTAGTTAGCTGTGCTAGTTACTGTAGCCTACTAGTAGCTAACCTTACTTATAGCTACTAGCTAGCTACTTGCTTTTGATCTCAACAACAACACAAAGTAAAGTTGTTATCTCAGTGTGAGACTTTCAGTTGGACATGGTCAGGGGTGTGTACATTTTAGAGGTGTAAATATTAATGAGTCACTGTTACGTAACTTTAAGATTTTGGAATTGGCCCATTTTACCGTTGTCCTCTTTTGCAAATACAGATTTTCATTTGAAGGAGGAGACAGCAGTGTTTGAGGATCACAGTGTGTCAGTTCTATGTACCAAACATATTCAACTATGCCACTGTAAATACAGTTTTCCATTCTATGGCCCCTTTAATCGGTTAAGATGTAAACAAAGTCATTCAGAGTAGTCTGAATGGCTAGACGTCGGAGATGTTTAATATCTCTGTAAGTTACCTCACATAAAGCTATTAGAACAAATGGTTAGGAATATGCCGCTTGATGTCTGACACATTGTTTTACAAGAGTTTTAAGAGAAAGTTTTGGCCTAAAATGTATTTTCTTTAAAACTTTTAATGGTAGAAATGTGCTTTTTTATTATTTTTGCATTTACAACTATTTAACAAATCATTAAATTCCACAGATTTTTTAAAATGTCTGCATAAATCAGTGGTTGAGAGATAAACAAAGTCATTCAGAGTGGTTTGATGTGAAATGGTTCATTTGTAGGGAAACTCAGATTTCTTTACAGTGGTGGTGATAGGAACACGTGATAGGTCACGATGCCTACAACACAAACATATTTACTATGAATAGTGAAACTACATGTGTCTTCTGGGTGTTTATTTGTAATTTTGATGATGGTAAAACAGTGGTAAATATGAAAAAAATATGTTTTCTTTGGGGACTATTTTGCCTTTATGTATCCCTCCACCATGAATAGATTAAAATACATTTTAGGGTAAAAAAACATAACCATTTCATGTAATAACTTTCTGTGAGGGAGCTTTTAGAGGTGGTCATCTGGTTCCTACCACCGCCACTGTGAACAATTCTGACTCTGAGTTTCTCTAGAACGAAGCATTTCACACCAAACCACTCTGAATGACTCTGTTCACATCTTAACCTTTTAATAATGCAGACATTTTGAAAAATAGATGGAGTTCCCCTTTAACATTATGTTTAAAAACTCAGAAGAGGTGTAGGTCACTATTAACTGGGATAGTAAATAAATTAGCTAAGTTTGTGCTGTGGATTATAACCTCTGAATGGCCACCACTGTAAAGACAATCTTTTGGTTCTCTATAAATCAAAACACTGACTAACTTTTTACGTCTTAATGACTGAATTTTGCAGACATTTTGAAAATTCACTGGAATTTCCCTTTAAGTAGTTAATATCTATTAGCTGATCCAGCCAATCCCGCTGTCGGTGGTGAACACTTTCTGGCCAATCACAGCGCAGGAGGGCGGGGTTTGTCGGAATACGGGTGGGAAAAAAACCAGCTCCACCGTCTTTCTCCCTCCAGAGTGTGAGTGAGAGACCCTCTGCTGCAGCATGGACCCCGCCGTGCTCATTTTCCTGCTTTACTTGATGATCGCGCACGAGCTCGTGTGCGGCCTCGTGCAGTATCGGAGACAAGCGGCACGGCCACGCAAGCGCGCGCCTCCTCTGACTTGGTGCTCCAGGTAAGGAGGGGTGGGGGCAGATGTGTGCGCGTGCGTGATTGCTGTGTAGTCAGTTTATCAGTAGAGCGCTTCAGAGCCTCGAGTCACATCAGCTTCATTTAAGTTGGTTCTTTTTTCAGCGTTTATCTGAATGTGCTGGTCTAGTTAAAGAGTCACCTGTAGGAATTCCTCCTCCTGTCTGGTGGGTGACTTTCTGCTAGAGTGGGACAGTTGGAGAGATGAAGGGGGCACAACTTCCACTTTAAAATAAATAATAGCCCACTGATAAAGAGAATGTAAATGCTTTACAATTATGCCAGTAAATACCATTTCATTCATTTTAGGTAATAAACATGTGATTACATACAGCTCTGACACTGTAGAATAGGATATAGTATGCAAGCATGCATAATAAAAATGCAGCCAAATCCACAAAGATGATCATGACCCTCAAAAACAGGATAATTCCACCAATTTTTCTCAATTTCAATCATTGAGAAAACAAAGCCATTCAGAATGGTTTGAAGTGAAGTGGTTCATTAAAGAGGAACTTGCCAGCTCAGATTTCTTTACAGTGGTGGTGATAGGACCCAGGGATTGCACTGTTTGCAACATAGATGTAGCCATTTTATTTGCTTTCCAAAATAACCAATGAAAATACACGTCGTGTTTTTTAATTGGAAAACTAGTGGTAAATATGATAAAACAACCTTTATAGAAGGTGACATATATTTATATACTATGTAAATATATATTTTACATATATATATAGTAATCACACATTTTTCACATGATCATATATTTTTTCACATGCCTTTTTTAAATGTGATAGCACATTGTTTAATGTGCAAAGTGTACAAAAAACACATTTATTCATGTGACTTTTCTGTGAGGGAGGTTTTCTTTGAGTGTGACTTTGCCTTGCACCGCCCTGCATTTCCCTCTTTACCAAATTAAAAAAAAATGTTTTAGGCCAAAACCTTCTCAAAACTATCAAACAATATATCAGATGTCAGGCAGCGAATTCATAACCATATTGTATAATAACTCTAGAATGGACCATTTCACATCAATGAATGACTTTGTTTATGCAGAAATTTACAAATCAGACCAATCGGTGGAGTTTCCCTTTAAGAGTTCCACTGAACTTACCTTATTGTACAGTGGTGCATGTGCGTGCTTGTTCTTGATCAGTCCATGCCTGTCTCCCCTCAGTGCTCGCGTGTGCCATGGCACGTGGAGGGTCAGCAGCAAGTCAGTGAGGGCAGATGGACGAGACTGGAAGAAAAGTGGCCGCATTGTCAGAAAGGCATGAGAAAGCAGGAGCACTGTGGATGGACCTGAGTTCTCAGAGTGAGAATATGATTATACTATGCTACGCGCTGCCTTATACTGTACCTTATGGACAATGACTGCAACTGTGTTCTGTGTCAACAGGGTGAAGTTTACATGCTGTTATAATTGCATGCACATTGTTATATGTGTTGTATTATGTCCGTTTGGACCAGTGTTTGTCGTATGTGACCAGACAGCTGCTATTTTTCTGTGTGGAAAAGATGGATTGCTGTGGGTCGTCAGTTCCTGGGTTTCCACAAATGTATCTGCTCC